TGAAGCCGAGTGGTACACCTGAGCCTTCTGACGACAAGGCTTAATTGCAGCTGCGATAATTGCAAGCCTTGTGGGACTTTGCTGGACCGGGGTTGGGGGATTGGGACCTTTCCAAATGTCACCCCAGAAGTCCAGAGCCTATAAACTCAAGCCTCAGAGCACCATGGTCAGCATAGGGGAGGTCTAGCTGGCGAGCCGATCGCTTCACAGCAAGTGCAGGCGCGAGCCATGTTGTAACTTCCCAAAGTCGTAATTCCTCCCTTGTAAAGACCCCCCAAGTTGATGCTTCAGATCGTCTCCAAGCCCTTACAAACCTAAACCCTAAACGTCCAGAGCCCCAAATGCCCCCAAAAATCCACCAAGCAGGCTCGTTGCATCCCAAGTGGCCGAGCAGCTCATGACCGTGGCATCCTCAGGGCAAGGCCTCGCAGTCTCAAGGACTTTTGAGCGGTAACAAGGAATAAAACAGATTATCTATTGTACGAAAATATCAATAGCAATGATATCAGGAATAAGTACATCAATGTAATAACATGTATATATATATATACACATACATATAGTCAGAGCTCGAAACCGTCGGGTAGCCCTACAGCTATAGGTTTTTGCTCCTGAAGGCACACCCTCTTCCCTTCATTGGCATTCTCAAAGGCCCGCGCGGCTCGCCAGTCGCCGTCGGGAGGGCCACAAGGAGGAGTAGATACCCTCAGCAGCTCTTCAAAAGAGGTGTGGGGCCATTGAACTGCAAGGACCGCCCCTTAATCCGACCTTTTCTTTGCAATCTATTCCGTTCAGATGGATTCAAGAGTCTAGTCGACCGCAAAATATCTACAGATACCAAGCCGACACTTCCAACGCGCCATTCTTTTGGGGCCGAGGGTCATGGCACCCAGGCGTCACAGCGCTGGAGCGGCATCTTCGAATTCGAAAATCTGCAGAGCTACAAGCGGTGGTAAAGTTCGAGAGTTGAAACTGTAGGTGCTGGGGGACAGGCTGACTATTCATGGAACCTTCGCTAAGGCTGAAGCTGTTTTAGTTTCAAAGTATTGGAGCTACTCTGGCTCGTTGCTGTGTTGAAGACTGCATGATGCGGTACGTCTTGCCTTACGATAGTGGTATGCTATGCTATACGGAGTCATCACAAGCCTATTGCTGTAGGATGTGAGGCAGTCGGCCAAACGCCGGCGGATAACACACAACGGCAACTGCAACGTGTCAGAACCAAGCTCATGACTTTGGAAGCAGCTGTTTTGGTTTAGATGAAGTCGTTGCATGACAGGCAATCTTAATTTGGTCCCACTTCCCGTCACGGAAGGTGAAGAGTTAAGAACACATGTGGCGATCAGCATTATAAATCTGAAGGTGCGCAGGAAAACTCAACCCTAAGCCCTAAGCCCTAAGCCCTAAGCCCCAAACCCTAAACCCTAAACCCTAAACCCTAAACCCTGAACCCTGAAGCCTAAACACACAAGAAAAAACCCAAAACAGAGCTCTCAAGCGCTCCCTGAGAGGGCAACTCCAGCTCCACGAGCGTCCACTCCCCGTCGATGGGGCCCTGGCAGGTCTTTAAATGGGAGGCGATGTGGGATTGAATAGGGTTTCGGGCTTGGGGGTTTAGGGTTTAGGGTTTAGGGTTTGAGGGGAAGAGGGTTGAGGGTTTAGGGTTTATAGGGGTTATAAGGGAAGCTAGGAAGCTCATGTCCTCGTGTTCTGACAAGGGGAGGCCTCGGAGTTCTGAGCTCCAAAGGCTCAGGTTCATGGTAGTTCTGTTCTCACGGTCCTTCGCCACCGCTTCTGGGTCAAGGGCTTGGTATATATATGGGCTTGCGAAAAAGAGGACTCCGAATTTTGACCCCAAAATAGTAGGATTCCCTTTCTACAGGGACCCCCAATAATAAGGTACCCCATACTTACTTCGGAAACCCCCAAATCCTACCTAGACCCTCAACTCCCCCCTAAACCCATAACCCTAACTCATCCCTTTATAATCCTTTATATAGGGGGGGGGGCCTTTAAGGGGATTCCGTTCTATTTGGGGCTGAAAAGGCGTAGTACCCCTTTAATGTGAAATGCCCAAACTCTGCGTGCACGCCTGAAAGGTGGAGGAGCCATCCGAGGTCTGTAACAGCTTGAGGGGTGCCAGCCTTCCCCGAACCATTCTCATGCCTTGCACCCTCGGCTCCCAAAAATGGTTTAGGGTTTAGGGTTTAGGGTTTAGGGGTTAGGGTTTAGGGATAAACAAAAAAAGGGGCCAAACCCGTGGCGGGAGCGCGGCATTCAGGACTCGCCACCTGGCCAGCTGTCTAGGGTTTCGGACTCAAGTTGTGTGGATCCGCAGGCATGTTCCACCCGATGCTGCCAAACAGAGCTTTGTCCTCCTGCACGAACAGATTCGAGAACTGGCTTCAGGTTTGCCAAGCCCGGACTGTTGTATGGAGTGGCTTGCACGGCCCAGAAATGTCAGAAGCCCTGTGGGCCATTGGGACTTTTGCTTTGTGCCAAACAAGTTGGAGGTGTTTTACTTGAGTAGCTTGTTGCTTGCTTGCTGTGTTGGCCACTTACTCAGCCTAGTTAAGCCAGGGAATTTGGCCAATGATCCAAGTTCGCAACCTCATGGGCCCTCTTCCCCAGAGCAACTTGATGCCAGGTTCAAGTCGAGTGGCATGGCGCCGGCAGGTTTGTCCGTCGCCGCCTGGCACAAAGTGCTGATCAGTGCTACAACGGCTTTGGCCTGAGAGCCTCCATTGGCGAGCCAATGTAGAACGGCATGAAACCGAGAGTTCACAGCCCGCCACTTGAAAACACCATGGCATCCCTGTGCCCCAAGGCCCTAAATCCTGCCACATCGAGACAGGCAGGCAAAGCTTCCTCGCAAACCAAAAAAGCCTGCCCCGGAAAAGCTCCGCAGAGGAAAAGTCTTGCCCTACCGCGCCCTCGCTCAGAAAACTGGGCGTTTTAGGGCTTAAGTTATAGGGTTTTAAACCCTATAACTTAAAGTGTTTAAAAGGTTTAAAACCCTCTAACTTAAATTAGGGTAGCATCTTTTCTAGCTTGAACCCTGGCCTCGAAAACGGGATGATTCTGACCTCAGTGGAAAGAGCAAACTTGCTCCATGACCATGGCTGAGACATCCCTAAGTGTGACTTGGGTCGATGACATCGTGCTGATGACTCTGCTGCCTAAACCCTATAAACCCTAAACCCCAAACCCTAAACCCTAAACCCTAAACCCTAAACCCTAAAGTCTGGGCCCAGGCGAACTCCGAAGAGAAGGTTGTCGAAGGACTTGATGTGCAACCAATCCTTGGCCCAGGTTTAGGGTTTCGCCACCCGCACTGCACACAGGTTTAGGGTTTAGGGTTTAGGGTTTAGGGTTCGGGGTTTTTACGTGTTTGGCATTCGGGCCCATGGCCTGGGGAAATGTCGGTGCCGAAGCGGGAAGATTTCAAGAGGCCCACGCAAACAAAAACACCACACACATGCCCGAAAACCTTGCAAAGGACTCAGACTCTTCACGACTCACAATCTTTGTTTCAGTTGCTGTCGGTCCAAAGAGGTGGTGCTTAATCCTCATGACAACGCATGCCCAGTGCTGCACCCACCTTTTGTTGCCAATGCGCTGCATGCGTCACAAGAGGTTGAGGACGCGTGTCCTGGCCCCTTCGGTAGTTGTAGCCCGGCTCACGTGACAGCGCTGCTGCGGCCGCAGCCTGCAAGGGACAAGGGCGTGATGGCGTTTTCGCACGAAGGCCTGTAGGGTCTTGGCTCAAGCAAGTGAGGGAGCATGCCGTGGGGACAGAGAGTCTCAACTCCTCAGCTTAACTTCGCCGCGTGCTGATAAGAGTGAGCCCATGTAGAAATAAGTACTTCTTAAGGCTGGCTTGCACTTGGCACGGAGCCTCACAAGGCCTGGGAATGCAGGGTGGCCTCGGACAGCTTCACGGGCAGATGAGGGCTATCACGCTTCATCGACTCTCTGCTTCTGGAAGCATCCTGGTTCGAAGAGTAGCACCGGTGCACCGGCACAGCCCAAAATCATCCGAAGTCATGGTAAGGGAGATCTCCTGCAACAAGGCGAAGCAACCGTTTCCCGCAGGCACCTCCATGCATCCCCTGCTTCTTTAAGTTGAGCATGGAGAGCCCTGTCCTTGCAGTAGGGCGGTTTCTGCCGCGATGTTGGCTGAGGGTTTGCAAATCGGAAGGTCGGTGAAAATGCCACCGGAAAGGCAGCAGCACTTTGAGCACACTTTTTGCCAGCTGCCAGTTACGCCCATGTGCTCAGATAGCCAAGGCAAGCAGGACCCTGGCATCTGAAACGCAAAAGGCACGTCTGATGGCGTCGGCGAAACTGCCAGTTGCACCCACGAGCTCAGAAAGCCAAGGCAAGCAAGACCCTGGCTGAGGTCCGACAGGCACTTCTGGCTGTGAACGAACAAATTTCAGGGACAAAGCTTGAGGGTCCCATTCCCGGAAAGTACTGTTCCTGAAGTGAGAGCACAGTTTGGTCAACATGCTTTCAAAATACCGGCCATCCCATGCTTCTGTTACAGTTGTCGATGGCTTGCAGCGTGCATCTCAATCAGTACAGTTCTCTCCTGACTCAGTGGCTGGTCCGCTTGCGCGTGACCTCTCTCTTTTGACCTAAAACAACTCTCTACATCTCTGAATAGACCCCCACGGTCCTAACGTGTTGCAACCTGGTCTCAAGCGTACAGGCCACCCAAGTCCACGGCAAACACTTGCTGAGAGCGACTGCAGACCAAGGCGAGCAAGACCCTGGTGGCGACGCACCGCACCCTTAAAGTGTGGGATGAGCAAGACAGGCCACTGCACCACAATGCCCGGAGGCTGTATAAGAAGGCTCTGCTGTTAGTGCAAGATCCAGCAGCCCATCTTGGCATTTCATGGCGAAGTCAGCTGTACAGATTCAGGCGGACGGCCCTTACACCAAAGACATCATCTAATCTATACAAGCATCGCGTGAGAACGCAAGCACGCCTCTCACTGCCAGGTCGGGTATCCCAAGCTCGAGTCTGTGCGGAGACCTCCCTCCACGATGATCATGGGCTCGTCTCCATCGCCTGCCCCTGCGGCTTCAGGATCAACTGGCGGTGGTGGGGAGGCGGGTCCTATTTCGCAAGTACTTTTAAGGGATACTTGGGCTCTTCTAGCTCTTCTAGTTGAAAGTTTGGCTCCACACAGTCTGTCCTCGAGGTGCTTGCTCCTTCTGAGTTGAAAGTTTGGCTCCCTACGTTCTTGAACACTTTCTTTACATCATCAAGGTCATCAACGTGCTTCACACCGCTTTTGTGGCCTTCCGCGTCGTCCCTGAGCACGTCTCGCCGCAGCTTCGGCCGCGTGACCTTCGGGAGCCGGCGCAGCGCCCCGTCGATGAGGTCGGCGTCGGAGAGAAGCGCCAGGAGATGCGTCTTGCCCAGCTCGTATCGGGCACCTATAGGACTCCCGAGGCTGTGTTACATAACACGAAGTTGTCTGCGAGAAGGGACACAAGCAAGTGGACCATGAACAGAAACTTATAGCATGTTGCACAAAATGTATATGCACAAAATGGAATTTTGCAATGTGGCGTGTATGTTTACTTGATGTGACTCACAGGGGGGGGAGGTGCAGAAAGTGAGAGCACGATTGCACTCCCTGGGCCCAATCATGCAGAAGCACTGCTGAGAGCACCTGCCACCTGCACAAACTTGTACTACCTAACCCTAATAAACCCTAACCCCTAAACCCTAAACCCTAAACCCTAAACCCTATAACCCTATAACCCTATAACCCTATAACCCTATAAACCCTAAACCCTAAAGCAAGCAAGACGCCATCTGCATGCAGCAGCTCCTGCATCTGTGGCTCAGTCAGTGGGACAAAGAGCGCCTTGACTGGGGACCACGCGGGCGCCACCTGAGGACAGCCCCTGAACCCTAAAAACCCTAAACCCTAAACCCGAAACCCTACACCCGAAAACCTAAGACCGATATTTTGGCGATGCAACACGTGCACAGTTCCCCTATAAGGCTCTAAGGCCTCTTGTTTTACAGGGTTTTTTGGGCCAAAAGGCCTTCTTATATCAAGTGTTTGGGCTATTCTGAGCCTAAGGGTACGTATGTAAATACATAATCGTCGACTTCCGTTCGATGCTGAGAAGAGAGAAAGGGACATATAGTAGTCGATCACTTAGAGACTTAGAGGTGGCACCTCGCACCCAGCTTCCAGAACCCTTTGGTGGAGCTTCTTCAAGGGGCCCGTCATGTCGAAGAGGAGGTCGTTGACCCGCGGGGCGTTCGCCTGACGCGTGAGGCGGAAGACGACGACGCCTTCTGGGCTCAGGGGGCGCATGTCACTGCGGCTGTTGCGGAGGGCAGTCAGGAGGTCATTGGTGCCCGCCGAGTCTGCACCTTCGAGCTTCGACGCTGGAGCTTCACTGTGCGCTTCAGGCGCTGACTCCTGTGCTGCAGCCTGTCCAGGACACTCTGGATCCTGCTCATTGCGATCGTCCCTCTCAGCGATGTACATCACTTTCTGGCTTTGCTGGGATTCCACCTGCGCTGCTTGTTGGCCCGGCTCTTCCCACCATGGGGACTGCAGCAGCTCGGCCCATCGTCCCTCCAAAGCTCGGGCCAGGGACGGCCGCTCCGCGGAGAAAGTCAGCACCACATTCACCAAAGCCGGTGAAAACAGCTTCCCTCGCGCCCACCAGCGCAGGGCCTGCAACACTCCGAGGCCCGCCATCTCCCGGGCTCGCCCGCGCGACGCTCGTAGCGCGGCGCGGAGGGCCTCGCCCGCCGCGGCTTTGCGCCCCGGGGCCAAGCGGGCAATTCTCCAAAAACAAGCGTCACTGAGACTGAGACCTAGCACGACGTCTGAGCTGCCACAAACTTCGCACGCCCAAGAGTCTTCCAAACTCAAGCCCGGGGTCCACTCCGTCGAGCAGACATCCATGGACCCACAGAGCGCAGCACAGTCCCTCTGACGAAAGAGAATCGCCAGGTCCAGCAGTGAGAGATACATGTGCGTAGCAGGCCCAGGTCCCGGACATGCAGTGCACCCCATGACACTTCGCTGCCTGAAGGTGCCCAATGTGAGGCCGGCCCTCTTCGCCCGGAGCAGCCGCTCGAAACTCAAGCACAAATCGCCGTCGGCAGCTTCTGTCAGGAGATATTTGGCCTTGTTGTTTCTGGGCGCGGCGGTTGGCCAGGGCCCGAGCTGCAGGAGATCTCGGACTTGGTGCCAGAGCTCGGCGTCCTCGGAAAGCACGACGGCTTCCGGAAGCGAGAGCTGCGTGCAATCATCTCGCAAGTGTTTCAGCCCGACTCCTGCCGCCAAGGCTGCCTTCAGGATTTCTGTCTCCTGTATGTCTATGCCCCAACCGCATCGGACGACAAAATCAACAAATTTCCACCTAAGAGGGAAGCGGGTGCAACGACTGGCGCAGCAAGCGGCCGGCTCTGTGTCCCGCAAGAGGATGGCGATGTCGAGGAGGCGCGCCATCGCTTCCGCCGTGACCTCTGCGGGAAGCGTCTTCTCGGAGCGGCATGCCTCAAGCAAAGCGCGAACCAAGGGCATCTCCGCCTCCCTTTCGGCCGTGCGCTTGGCTGTCCGGATGTCTGCGTCCCGATCACGCATCGGCACTCCCTGATCTTCTGGATGAGGTCCTCCATTAACAGCAGGTGGTAGCGGTGGTAGAGTGATGTTGCAAAGTTTGACAACACACCCCGGCACCCCGTGGGAAAGCATGGCCAGTGCCGTGCTCTGCTTACCATACTCCAGGCACCACTCGAAGAGGTGCTTGGCGCCAACTTTTTGGCTCAGGAGCCCCGTCTCTCCAGCCAGGAGCGACTTGGCTATCTGAAACTCATCCACGTCCATCACCTGCCCATCACGGCCACGGTGCAGGAATCTCTCCATGGGCAATTTGGCTGCACGACCCTGGCCCCTGGCCTACCCTCACGGGTGCTCCTGCTTGGGACGTGGTCCGACATGTGAGGTGTGCTCTGTTTCTTCACGTGCAACCTTTAAGCAGCACAGCAACAAGTAGGGGACAAGCGCCTGGAAGTGGCAATCGGCACAACCCAGGTTGTCCTTGCCGCTCGTGCGGGAGGCCTGCATGGTTATGGACGAGATATTGGAGTTCTCCACACGGGAACTGGGAAACGCGTCCCTTGAAACCACGACGACCTGGTGGCCATCTAATTGGGACTTGAACTGGCGAAACGTAGACTTACAAAGGCGGGCTGGGGACGAACATGCCCCTGCAATGACTCATTTAGGAAGATTGCGTGCTCCCTAAACCCTATAAACCCTAAACCCTAATTTGACTCCGCGAGCCCCCTAAACCCTAAACCCTGAACCCTATAAACCCTAAACCCTAAAACCCTGAACCCTGCAGCCCTGAACCCTGAACCCTGAACCCTGAACCCTAAACCCTAAACCCTAAACAATAAACCCTAACCCTTGCTACGTGGCACGGAGCATGAACACCTTGGACCACACCTGTTATCGCAAGCCTGTTTAAGTCCCCAACCCTTTTTCTGAACCCGCGCTATGCAATTGCCTGAGACGGGAATGCGACTGCACCCAACCCGAAGATGCAAATAACGTGTACTCAGGGCTGGGAAATTGGGGCAGTTTTTCTTAGTTGTCCAGTACCTAGGGGTGTTAAAGGTTAACAACCAAAAAGGTTAAAGGTTACCCACTCTCCTACTAAGTTTTAGGGGTAGGCTTCTATATGACTTACGCTTTCTGGGTGAATGGGGTTATCTGCAGGGGATCGTGGCGCTTGTAAGGCTTGCCACTGCAACCGGCTAAAGGTTGCCCACCCAGTCTCGAAGATATAGGGTTCAGTGGCGTTTAGGTTTTTATGTAGCGAGCATCTCCACCTGCCGACCTTGGACACATACGAAAGGGTATAAAGAAGGACGCAGGGACACTGGGGCTTCATCGGACTTGGGGTTTTAGGGCTTATAGGGGATTTCTTTTTGGTTTATAGAGTTTGGGCGCACATCCCCATATCCTGGGCTCCCTTGAGATCCTGGGTGTGTGCGTTGCTTATACAAACGGGGCCTCCTGGCCACCTAACAGCCCAAGATGCAGAGGAGTTAGACATCCCTCCGAGGCTGCAAGACTCGAATATTTTTGGGTCATGGCTACAAAAGCCAGGGAAAGTCGTAAACCGGCCTGAAGTCTTCGGTAAGTTCTGCGCCTCCAATCCTCGAGACAAACCCCAAACAGATCAACAGCGCAAAGCGCAGCTGATGCCCGGGCCTCGTGATGGAGCACAGGAGGTCCCGCACGGGCTTTTCATGGGCGTTGAGCACCTGGGGCTTGGAGATCTGCAAGGATACGGCATGAAAATCATGGAAAAGGGCCTTCGGTTGAGGAAACATGTGGGCTTCACAGTTTCAGTCACGCCTTCTGGGGGACAAACCAAATCAAGCTCAAGCAAACCCTGGGCTGACGGTATGTGGAGTTCCCGATGCTAGGGGAGTTCCCTACACTATCCTGCGCCCCGTGTTCTTGTACGTCATGAAGCAGGTGGCTATCAGACACTCCTGGAACATTTACAAGGCAGTGTCAAGACGAATGACTATATGACCCACAGCTAGATGTTCGCAAATAATCTGCCAAAACCTTTTTTAGTGACCGAAACCTGTGGGGTTTCAAGACCTTGAACACTCTGGCTATGAACCGTCCTGGAGGCAACGGCAGCATGCTAAATCACACGAGGCAACTTTATGTGAAATAACACAACATGCATCAACCGAAACGCGGCGAAACCGAAAAAAAACACATGCCCGCATCAACCTGAAACTTGCACTCTAACAGCACTCCAGGGTATGAAGTGCCTGCAGAAATCTTGAGAGACGTGCGATCGACTGAGGCCAATGCTTCTGTCGCGCTCTAGGTCGTGTCCTCCAAGCCTGTCGGGAAAGGGCATCCTTGGTTCTTGATGGGGTCTATAAACCGGGAACCTCTATGAACTGAACAGGGAACCTATGAACACTGTCAATGTCCATGAAAACTTCGTAAGGGGACATCTGAGGGCTGACTCGGGAACCTCTAGGAAAAACCCCGCGCTGTCACGAGCGCAGGGCTTGTTTTGGCTCCCGCTGCATTGCTCGCGCCCTTCTGTGAGCCCACCCACCAAGGCAGACAAGACCTCTGGCTTCGGGACTCATGTGGGATGCGAGTTGCGAGCCTCATGCAATGTTACTGTCGACAGTGGAGTTCAGCAACCCCGTCGTCGCTTCTTCGCTCGCTGCATTCCTATATAAACTCTTCGAGTTGCCTTATATATGATATAGCCATATCGCCCCACATACTCAATTGTGACAGGTGCAGGAAGGCAGACGGAGCTTAAATGGAGCAGATGCCCCAGCACCAAGGCTACAAGACCTGTGGCTGCCAGGCACAGGCCGCAAACTGAAGCAAAACATTGTGCAAAGGATCAACACAATAGACCCGAGGCTGACGGTTCATTCGCCAAGGCAACAAGACCAATGGCTGCAGGACGATCAGCGACTCACAACGTGCTTTTCAAAATCTAAATCGGGGCGTGTTTCATCATCATATGCACAACTGCTCGCCTCAGCGTGCCCATGCATGTGCTATACTCCCCAGTTGTCGCACAGTGGCTGCAGCTGTGGCGCTGAGCAGCAAGGCAACAGGACCAGTGACAACTCAGCGCCCGCATCTGATGACGAAAGGCCCGTCTCCAAAACTAGAAGTGCCCAAGTGTCGTGCAAGCAATCACGAGGAAACATGGAACATTACTGACTGAGTTGAAGTCATGCAGAGTGTGGAGAGTCTGAGCTTGCGGTCCACTCGTGCGTGAACTGGCGAGCTCCAGAAACAGGAAGTTGCCAGCTCAGGGGTTGAACTGTACAATGAAGCCTGGCAGAGCTACATGGTGTTGACTGCTGGGGGCTCCTGTGTCTCACCGCGGCAGCAGCTCAGCGTGACGTCCCCTTAAGGCCTCGGCAAGGGCGGGCTGTTCTGCGGCGAAATCCAAGACAGAGGTGAGCAGTGGCAAGGGGAGGCCCTCCCCACGCGACCAAAGATGCGCGGCCTGAGAGAGCCCGGCGCCGGCGCTCTTGGCAGCTTGCCGGTGCGATGCCTGCACAGCTGCCGTGAGGGCCTCGCCGGCGGCCACCCTCCGCTCCGACAAGGGGGCGATTTGCTGCCCCCAGAAGTCCGCGCAGCGCCACAGGGAGCCATCGCACGCGTCGCACCTTGGGCTCATGCCCACCAGGACGGTGTTCTGCAGGCTCAGCGGCGGCGTCCACGAGGTCGTGCCGATGTCCGTGAAGCCACAGAGCCGAGCGCAGTCCCTTTGCCCCAAGAGAATGGCCAGGTCCAGCAGTGTAAGAGAGTCGAGGGCACACTGATGGCAGCTGCGGCACTGGCGCTGGAAGGGTGCCTGGAAGGTGTTCAGCGCGAGCCCCGCTCTGGTCGCCACACAGAGCTTCCGATGGCTCAGGCGGACTTCGCCACCCAAATCTTCCGTCAGAAAGAGGGCCATGGCATTTCCGGTTTTGTGCACACGACCGGGCCCAAGAAGATCAAGAAGCGGAAGTAGGTCTTGCACTTGGCATGGCTCCGCGTCGGAGAGCGCCATGGCCTCCGAAAGCAAGATGCTGCCACGGACCCCGGCGAAGTGATATGATGCAGAGAGATGCTGGAGTGCCACTCCTGTTGCCAAAGCTGCTATCAGGATCTCCTTCTGAAGGATTCCTATGCGAGGACGCCATCCGGGTAAAGGGTCGTTTAGGACTGCGACGAAATCCCGGAATCGCCACCGCCTGAGTGGGAAGCAGGTGCAGCTTTTGACACAGGAGCTGGCCAGCTCCACATCTCCCAACAGGAGGGCGATGTCGAGAAGCCGCGCCATCACTTTCTCATCGACCTTGGCAAGGTGCAGCGTTTTGGAGCGGAGGGCCTCAAACAGACCGCGCGCCAAGGGCGTTTCGGCAGCTCGTTCTGCAGCCTCCTTGGCATTCTCCACGGAAACATCGAAGTCTTCCATCCAAACTGCCGCATGGTCTGGAAAGCCCCAGCTGCACCCAGGGCAAGTTCGCCGGCGCCCGCTGCAGCAACAATCGTCAGCGACAGAAAATGGTTCCTTCATCTGCTTTGGCAGCCGGGCTTTAGGTAGTGCTCCGAGCCCGACGGCGTTGTAACTGAAGCCAGGAGGTGTGAGTGTGAGATGGCCGCCCTTCACCAAACACCCCGGCACCCCGTTGAAGAGCATGGCCAGCGCGGTGCTCTGCTTCCCATACTCCAGGCACCAGTCGAAGAGATGCTTGGAGCCAACATCCTGGCTCAGGAGCCTCGTCTCCCCAGCGAGGAGTGCCTTGGCCACCTGAAACTCATCCACGTCCACCACCTGCCCAGCTCGGCTGCGGTGCAGGAACCTCTCCATGGCCCACAGCCCAGATATGCCCACAAAATGCACGCAAACTTACGGTCGAAAATTCCGAGCCACACGCCGCCAACAGGGCTCCACCGAACCTCCAAGGCCAGCCCACTATATCCCAACTCTCACAGCCTCAGGGTTCGTGGCGGACAGGTGGCCGTGGAGGCATGTTTTGGGCTTCTACACTTCGATACTGTAGAGGTTAACATGGCATTGGGCTTCTAAAATTAGGGGAGATGCTGCTTCAAGCATCGGCGGAACGCTCGGCCTCGCCCCCGCGCCGCTGCAGGGACACGGGGCCTGGGCGGCAGAACGTCCTAGTTGTCCAGTACCCTAGGGAACAAAATGGTGATATAGGGATTACCCTAAACCCTGAACCCTGAACCCTGGACCCTAAACCCTAAACCCTAAACCCTAAACCCTAAACCTTCCATACCCCAAAAAGGTGAAAAGTTACCTTCTACTAAGACGTTCAGCTCCATGGGAGCTGCGACTTCCTGCTGACTGGGTTCTCAAGTCGGTTTAGGGTTTAGGGTTTATAGGGTTTAGGGTAAAGGTGGGGGGGGGGGGGTACAAAATCGGAAACTGAGTGTGTAGGATTCTTGGGTGCCCCAGCTTTTCTACCTTGATTTAGTACCTCTAAGGGATGAGCTGCTTCCGAGTAAGCATCTCCTTATAGGTCGTCGGCACATGAAGGGCCCCGATTTCACAAATGCATGCCTATACTAATGCCGTTTTAGGAGAGGCGAGCTAATCTTCGACAGGCAAGCAAGGAAATGCCGAGTGCCCCTCCTAGTTCCTATGAAGTTCTTAAACAATGAACCCTCTAAAGCCTACTAACCCCATAAACCCTCTAAACCCTCTGAACCCTATCCACCCCATAATAAACCCTCTTAACCCCATAAACCCTCTAAACCCTGTCAACACCCTCTAAACCCTCTAAAATCTCTAGCCTCTCTAATCCCTCTAACCCCTCTACCCTATATAGACCCTTCTTTAAACTCAAAACACTACAAACCTTAAACCGGTTTGGGTGCAAAGGGCCACCGCAAACCTTGAGTGGGGGGATGTCTGCAGTATGATATCAGCTCCTTGGGGCCCCCTCCAAACCCGACCGAATTAAACCCTAAACCCTAAACCCTAAACCCTAAACCCTGAACCCTAACCCCTAACCCCTAACCCCTAAACCCTAAACCCTAAACCCTAAACCCTAAACCCCTAAACCCTAAACCCTAAACCCTAAACCCTAAACCCTAAACCCTAAACCCTAAACCCTAAACCCTAAACCCTAAACCCTAACCCTTGAGGTTGCCCAACTGGCAAGGCCAGCTCGGGGCCTTCCAAGGGCAGCTCCGAACTCTACATACCAGGATGGGCTATATTATAGGCCTTATTAAGGTTTAGGGTTTAGGGTTTAGGGTTTAGGGTTTAGGGTTCAGGGTTCAGGGTTTAGGGTTTAATCCCCAAAAATCAACCCTATGAAAGGCCCTTTTTAAGGGATGGTAAGGTTTTTAATGGCCCATCCTGGTAATCCATTGATCCAGACAAGCGCCTCAGACCCTTTCGTGCCGAAGGTATATGGCACAAAGTTTAGGCTTCTGACATCCCCGTCTCGGGCGAATCTCACTCCTTCAGGGCTCTCCGACAAGTCCGACCTACGATGGCCCGTTCCTCACTCCTTCAGAGCTCTCCGACAAGTCCGACCTACGATGGCCCGTTCAGCGTACGTCAGTCCGAAGAACTATGACTCAAAACGAACTCCGAACTCTTGAGGCGCGCGCGCCATCTGGCCGGCGTCTCCCCCATATATACACCATATACACCCCACACAGTCATCCATACTCTTAAAGGTTTAGATGTCAATACCAAATATACCAAATAATTTAGACAACCCTAAACCCTAAACCCTAAACCCTAAACCCTAAACCCTAAACCCTAAATTTAGATGAAAAAAGAAGGATGTCTTCGTCCTGGCTTGAGGCCGAGTCTTCGCCATGATGGAGCTTGAACTTGGATGGACCTGCGAGAAAAAAAACCGATGCTCTCCCTAAACCCTCAACCCTCAACCCTAAACCCTAAACCCTCTATTTCCAGCTCTGTGGCATTTCAAGAAAGACTTCTCAGAGATAGCCCCTTCAAGCGTTTGCTGGGCAGAAGCCTCATCAAAGGCTTAAGCATCCCATCTCCATCATTTCTTGTGTCCTGCAGTGCTTAACTCTCTCAGGGCAACTTCTGAACACACCTGATAGCTCTCACCCAGCAAACAGTGAGCTCGAACCTCGTACTGCTTCAGCTGTTTTTCTGCTCGGCGTTTTGAGTCGCTCTCGCACCCCGCGCGCCCACCCACCAAGGCAACACGACCTGTGGCTTCGGAACGCGAGCGATGCGCTCGTAAATTGGCGCGTGGAGCGTAATTCGCGCAGGGGCACATGTCTGATGTTCTGTACAAGTCGGCCCATTCTCATGCCCCAGCACCAAGGCAACAAGACCTGTGGTGGTGAGTGGGGCGACTGGCCTATACATATCAAGCACAGCAACTCCAAAATAAAATAAGAGGCGTGGAGAGGCTGCCACGGGTAAGTCACTATTTGCATTGCGGCTTCGTTTGCAGCTGCCTCTGGCATGTACCACTGCAGCAAACCCTAAACCCTAAACCTTATAGACCCTAAACCCTAAACCCTAACCCCTATGCTGCGCGGAGTGCTGTTCAGGAGTCCAGGGAGCACTCCAGTGCTCCTATTCAAGCGCCCCCTCGCTGGCGCTATGTGTGCATGAGTGGCATACTGCTGCGTAAGTGCGCGTATTTCATTATGTGTGTGTGTGTGTGTGTGAAAAATGTCTGTATATGTATATATACACACACACATATATATATATATATGTATATACAGAGCACACCAACCTGCCATTTACCGAGCACCAAGGCAACAGGACCTGTGGCAGCTCGGGTTCTTGGCAAACAAACACGTCTACACACGACTGCGCGTTGCATCCCTTCCGCTCACTCTCATGCCTCGCTGTACACGGGGAAGCCGACGCTGGAATCCGTGCGAAGCCCTCCCTCCATCACGATGAAGGCTCCCTCCTCGCCCTCGCGAAGGGCTTCGCAACGGATCTTGGGCCGATCCTTCTGACGAAGCTCCTGGAAGGCCCGGTTGAGGAGGTCGAGATCCGACTTCAGGGCCAACAAGTGCCAGCTCCCCAGCTCGTAGACGGTGCCTTAAATAAGGCAAAGGAAAAACACTGTTCTGAAAGAAAAAAACGTGGAAGCACGTGCATGTTGTCCAAGATGCGCAGCAAGAATAATCTCTAATACACAGCAACCTGGCACTAGGCCAGCGGCCGTCAGCGTCCGGCTGCGTGAGCTCCTATAGGGGGCAGTTTAAGATCTATTTAGGGTTCAGGGACTGAGTGGAGGTATCCTGAATGCTCCATGCAGAGCCGAGGACTTCACCGAGCACAAGGGTTACAGTACACAGCACATGCAACTCTGCACCATGAAGACAGGGAATCGCAGAAAAGAAGAACCCAGAAGCATCTCCTGCAGCTGCTGCCTGGTCAGCGGCACAAAGAGCGCCTTCACGGGCGACCAAGTCGGACAAACTTCGCAGCCGGCCTCAAGGGGAACAACAAGGAGCGAATCAATTGTCCATGCCAGACTACAGAAGATTCATGTCTATAGTGAGTCTATAGTGAATAGGCCAGGCAGGCATGAAAACAACCAAAGCTACAAGTAGCCTCCAGGACTCTGCGGTGCAAGGTCCACAAGGGCCCGGTCTCATCGAAGAGGACAGCGTGGACCTCTTCCGCGTTGGCCCGCCGAGTGAGCCGGAAGATCACGGCGCCGTCCCCGCTCAGTGGAGGCAGGTCGCTCCTGCTGTTGCGGAGGGCTGCAAGGAGGTCATCCGTGGATGGACCTGCGAGAAAAAAAACCGATGCTCTCCCTAAACCCTCAACCCTCAACCCTAAACCCTAAACCCTCTATTTCCAGCTCTGTGGCATTTCAAGAAAGACTTCTCAGAGATAGCCCCTTCAAGCGTTTGCTGGGCAGAAGCCTCATCAAAGGCTTAAGCATCCCATCTCCATCATTTCTTGTGTCCTGCAGTGCTTAACTCTCTCAGGGCAACTTCTGAACACACCTGATAGCTCTCACCCAGCAAACAGTGAGCTCGAACCTCGTACTGCTTCAGCTGTTTTTCTGCTCGGCGTTTTGAGTCGCTCTCGCACCCCGCGCGCCCACCCACCAAGGCAACACGACCTGTGGCTTCGGAACGCGAGCGATGCGCTCGTAAATTGGCGCGTGGAGCGTAATTCGCGCAGGGGCACATGTCTGATGTTCTGTACAAGTCGGCCCATTCTCATGCCCCAGCACCAAGGCAACAAGACCTGTGGTGGTGAGTGGGGCGACTGGCCTATACATATCAAGCACAGCAACTCCAAAATAAAATAAGAGGCGTGGAGAGGCTGCCACGGGTAAGTCACTATTTGCATTGCGGCTTCGTTTGCAGCTGCCTCTGGCATGTACCACTGCAGCAAACCCTAAACCCTAAACCTTATAGACCCTAAACCCTAAACCCTAACCCCTATGCTGCGCGGAGTGCTGTTCAGGAGTCCAGGGAGCACTCCAGTGCTCCTATTCAAGCGCCCCCTCGCTGGCGCTATGTGTGCATGAGTGGCATACTGCTGCGTAAGTGCGCGTATTTCATTATGTGTGTGTGTGTGAAAAATGTCTGTATATGTATATATACACACACACACATATATATATATATATATGTATATACAGAGCACACCAACCTGCCATTTACCGAGCACCAAGGCAACAGGACCTGTGGCAGCTCGGGTTCTTGGCAAACAAACACGTCTACACACGACTGCGCGTTGCATCCCTTCCGCTCACTCTCATGCCTCGCTGTACACGGGGAAGCCGACGCTGGAATCCGTGCGAAGCCCTCCCTCCATCACGATGAAGGCTCCCTCCTCGCCCTCGCGAAGGGCTTCGCAACGGATCTTGGGCCGATCCTTCTGACGAAGCTCCTGGAAGGCCCGGTTGAGGAGGTCGAGATCCGACTTCAGGGCCAACAAGTGCCAGCTCCCCAGCTCGTAGACGGTGCCTTAAATAAGGCAAAGGAAAAACACTGTTCTGAAAGAAAAAAACGTGGAAGCACGTGCATGTTGTCCAAGATGCGCAGCAAGAATAATCTCTAATACACAGCAACCTGGCACTAGGCCAGCGGCCGTCAGCGTCCGGCTGCGTGAGCTCCTATAGGGGGCAGTTTAAGATCTATTTAGGGTTCAGGGACTGAGTGGAGGTATCCTGAATGCTCCATGCAGAGCCGAGGACTTCACCGAGCACAAGGGTTACAGTACACAGCACATGCAACTCTGCACCATGAAGACAGGGAATCGCAGAAAAGAAGAACCCAGAAGCATCTCCTGCAGCTGCTGCCTGGTCAGCGGCACAAAGAGCGCCTTCACGGGCGACCAAGTCGGACAAACTTCGCAGCCGGCCTCAAGGGGAACAACAAGGAGCGAATCAATTGTCCATGCCAGACTACAGAAGATTCATGTCTATAGTGAGTCTATAGTGAATAGGCCAGGCAGGCATGAAAACAACCAAAGCTACAAGTAGCCTCCAGGACTCTGCGGTGCAAGGTCCACAAGGGCCCGGTCTCATCGAAGAGGACAGCGTGGACCTCTTCCGCGTTGGCCCGCCGAGTGAGCCGGAAGATCACGGCGCCGTCCCCGCTCAGTGGAGGCAGGTCGCTCCTGCTGTTGCGGAGGGCTGCAAGGAGGTCATCCGTGGACGCCTGGTCGGGCCCGCTGGGCCCGCTGGGCTTCTCGCTTGAAAGATGGGAGGGCGGCGCGGGCGCGTGTGCGCCGGAAGCCGGGTCGAGGTCTGCCGACGGCCTCGCAGTGTCGCACGACTCCTCGCTTCGAAAAGGCTCAGCATCATCCCGATCCCTTTGCAGGGATTCCATTGGCGCTGTGTGTTGGTCCGGCTCTTCCCACCATGGGGACTGCAACAGCTCGCCCCATCGTCCCTCCAAAGCTCGGGCCAGGGACGGCCGCTCGGCGGAGAAAGTCAGCACCACATTCACCAAAGCCGGTGAAAACACCTTCCCTCGCGCCCACCAGCGCAGGGCCTGCAACACTCCGAGGCCCGCCATCTCCCGGGCTCGCCCGCGCGACGCTCGTAGCGCGGCGCGGAGGGCCTCGCCCGCCGCGGCTTTGCGCCCCACGAGTGGGGCCAAGCGGGCAATTCTCCCAAAAAAACCGCCGAGACCTAGGTGACCTAGCTCGATGACTGATGAGCTGCCACAAATATTGCATGCCGGAGGTTCTTCCAAGCTCAAGCCCAGGGTCCACTCCGTCGAGCAGACATCCATGGACCCACAGAGCTCGGCACAGTCCCTTTGCTCAAAGATTATCGCCAGGTCCAGCAGTGAGAGAAAGATTTCCGTAGCAGGCCAAGAACCCGGACATGCAGTGCACCGCAAAAAACTTCGCAGCCTGTAGGTGCCCAATGTGAGGCCGGCTCTCTTCGCCCGGAGCAGACGCTCGAAACTCAAGCACCAATCGCCGTCGGCAGCGTCTGTCAGGAGATATTTGGCCTTGTTGTTTTCGGGCGCGGCGGTTGGCCAGGGCCCGAGCTGCCAGAGCTCGGCATCCTCGGACAGCACGATGGCTTCCGGAAGCGAGACGTCAGAAAAAAAACAATCTCCCACGCTCTGGAGCCCGACGCCTGCCGCCAAGGCTGCCTTCAGGATGTCCTTCTCCCGGATCTCTCGGATTATGGGAAGAAAGACCAGGTTGCGGACGACAAAGTCATCAAATCTCCACCGCCTGAGCGGGAAGAGGGTGCAACGCCTGGTGCAGCAAGCGGCCAGCTCTGCATCCCCCAAGAGGATGGCGACGTCGAGCACGCGCGCCATCGCTTCGGCCGTGACCTCTGCAGGAAAAGCAGCCTGGGAGCGGCACGCCTCAAGCAGATGGCGAAGGAAGGGCATCGACGCGGCTCTTGATGCCTTCTTCTTCGCGGACCGCAAACTTGCATCCCAATCTTCCATCCAAACGCCCTCTTCCTCCGGAAGGTAGCCCCAGTTGCATGCTGAGCAAGTGGCCCATGGACCCCAGCACTCACAAACCGCGAAGATGTCGCAGGCATCTGCATAGTCTGCATCCAGAAGTCGGTCCGCTGGGCCCGCAACGTGCCAGGCCCTGATGACACACCCCGGAACCCCATGCGACCACATGGCCAGCGCCGTGTTTCGGTGGCCGAAATAAAGGCACCAATCGAAAAGGTGCCATGAATCGACCTCTCGACCCAGGAGCTGCGCTTCCCCGGACAGGAGGGCCCTCGCCACCTGGAACTCGTCCACGTCCACGATCCACCCATCCTGATCGCGGTGCAGGAACCTCTCCACGGCGTCCACATCCTCCATGGCCACTGACACGCCTGCAGCTTCCCAAGAGGAATATGTCAGGGCCGAGCCGGCTGCGACCTGCATGGGCACGCGGAGCCTCATGATTATGGCAGGCGCGCATTCACACCCAACCTCTCAACTTCAACTTCAATGTCTGTGGCACTGCAGACAGAAACTCTCAAACCCACAGCCCCCTACACGTCAGCAGCCTCGTCCTTAATTGGGGACGAAATGAGCCCTAAAATTGGGGGTCATATACCCTGACTACTACAATTCCTATTTGGGTATATGAACCATAAACCCCCTAAACCCTAAACCCTGAACCCTAAACCCTAAACCCTAAACCCTAAACCCTAAACCCTACATCCTAAACCCTAAACCCTAAACCCCTTTTAGGGTTCATTTCGTCCCCAAGGGTAGAGACAATGAAGCATCCGCACCAGCCTGCGAGCTCAGTCTCCTGTGGGTCGGAGTCATTCACAGCCTGAGGGCTGACAGGGTTTCCTTTTGGATCCTGGATTGGAGGTTTAGGGTTTAGGGTTTAGGGGTTTAGGGGTTTAGGGGTTTAGGGGTTTAGGGGTTTAGGGGTTTAGGGGTTTAGGGGTTTAGGCGTTTAGGCCTTTAGGGTTTAGGGTTTCGGGGGGTTCTCCTCAAAGGAGGGCTCCTCAAGTGATGCGGCTCCCAGCGGAGGAGGGCGGCGTCTGTGGCTATGCGGATAAACCCGTACCTTGGGGACGAAATGAACCCTAAACGGGTTTAGGGTTCATTTTCCTTGATAGGAGTTAGTAGTATAGGGTACATCGCCCCAATTTTCGGGTTCACTTCGTCCCCAAGGTATAACCTGGACTTGACAAACCACGATCAGCTGTCACAAGCACATGGCCAATTGGGGCTTCAGGCTTTGACAAGGCTGACGTTGGTGTGGTGAGGGCATGTGCTGGCGGGGTTGAAGGGAATTCGAGGGTCTCCAGCCAGCCCTAACCACACTCAGTTGAGAAAGTCGGCGCCACCCGATGATTGCAACCATTGGCCGCTTTCTTTCTGCCTTTCTTTCTGCTGTCATTCAGCGGGCGGGTAGCAGCAGAGGCACCGCGATGCCAACAAAGGGTTGATATAGTATGTGCGAAGTCCTACAGTGAAGCTTGGGGGTTCGATCATCGTTGACCCATGCCGTCAAGCAACCACATAAATGCCTGTAGCTTCACATCAACATTCCACGTCAATATTGATTCTTTCCTATACGTACTCTTTCGCATGCAAGTAGGACATGAGCATTGTTGAGCACCAACTGACAAAACTGCTGGCCAAACGTGAGCCGCGTGAAACAAATCAAACGCTGATACTCGCAAACTCTCGACCCCAACCCGCTCCTGAAGCATTTCGCTTAGACAATCTACCATTTGCTGCATTGCCAGGAGGCTCCAAAGTTCTTAAAGCAGGATACGCCCAAACTTGGGCACCGGGCACCTGCCCTGTGTCGTCTTGGCCGCAAGATGCAATCAGAGAACCTCGGCCAAACCCCTACACCCTTCAATTTTAAACCCTTATACAAACCCCAATTACCCTAAACCCTAAACCCGAAACCCTAAACCCTAAACCCTTTTTTGCCCTAAACCCTACATACGTCTGCGGCTGAGGACGGCAACCCCCCGGCCTTGAGCTCGAGCGCCTTCAGCTTAAACCCTATGAACCCTATTAACCCTATTAACCCTATTAACCCTATTAACCCTGTAAACCCTATAAACCCTACAGAAACCCTATTAACCCTATAAACCCTATTAACCCTATAAACCCTATTAAACCCTATCAACCCTATAAACCCTAACCCCTAAACCCTGAACCCTAACGGTTAGGCTCTAACGTTGCTACACATCCCCACCTGCTCAGGCACCACGTTAACACGACGCAGTTTTCTCCATCCCTCCGCCCCCCCACCCAGCGGGGGGCAAGTGTTGGAGGCAGGCTGCATTGAATTCATCTGAGCCTACCTTGAAGACCAAAGAGCCCCTAAAAATGGGGTCATATACCCTAATACTACTATAATCCCTATCAAGGCGTATGAACCATACACCATTTTAGGGTTCATTTAGTGCCGCAGGTTTATAACTTGTTTGCACCAGTTCCGAAATTCCACGTTCTTCACAAGACATCTACTGAACACGGCCACACTTCGTCTTGCTATCTGGCCAAAAAGCTCATCTCCAGCCCCCACGAGCCACGGAACCTCTCACATTGCAGCCTCGCGGAAAGCTCCTCAGCCCTGAGCCCCTCGACGTCCCTAAGCCATGCAGCGCTGTTGTTCCCCCCGACACCACCAAAACCCTGCAGCACGGTTTCTCTGAAGGTTTAGGGTTATAGGGTTTAGGGTTTGTAGGATTTTGGGCATCAAATCACAACATCACATGTTCAAGTTTGCAAGCCATGGTCTAGAAGCCCTGAAACCAGGAGGGATCCCCATGTTCTTGTTGAAGCTCCCGCATACCCTTGTAACGACCCAAGGACATACCAGCATGGAGGCCTGATAATCCCCGTAACCAACCCGATAGAGGGCCTTTTTAAGTTGTTACCCTAAACCCTAAACTCCTAAACCCCTTTTTGCAACTGGGCTTGAGGACTAGCCCAAACCCCTTTTTGCTTCAGGGCTCCTGTGGTAGCTTGCCTGTGAGCGAGGTTGTTCAGGCGACATCATGCGAGTCGGATGACTTCGTCAACGACCCTCTCCTGTAGCCCAAACCCCTAAACCCTGAACCCATGCAGGTAAGCTGCAGGCGATTCATCGGGCCCATCGCGTCGATGTGCACCGATGTAGGCCTGTCCATGAGGCCGCGACATGTTTAGGGTTTGCCTGGGACTATGTACCTACAGTTGGGTAGCAACTGCCCTGCGTGAGTAGGTATTATCACCCCTAAGACTGTAGGCAAAGAGGGTGCCAGGTCGGGTTTATCGGATATAGGTGTAGGGTTTCGGGGGCAAAGAAATCCTTGGACCCACCTCATCGAACACCGTCGAGTCAGAAGTCCGAAGTCGCGGAGGCAAGCCTTCAGAGATTCTAGGGTAAACCCTTTTCAAAGAGGCAACCCTGAACCCATAACCCCACCGTACCTGAAACTGGCTTTTTAGACACACAAGCAACGGAATGTTCTCACAGAGGGAAATCCAAACGCATGGCGCATTTCCATGCCTGTAAGGAAACACCTGCACGTGATAGAACGCGCAACTTTTTCCAGAGAGGACGACTGTAAGCTCCAGCTCCTGAAAAAAGAGGCTTGCCTAGGGCGTCCCAGGACTTTTGTGAAGAGCACCCTCTTTTGGGGGGTGCTTGTGCAAAAGTTGAAACAAGTCAGAATCACACTCCCTCAATTAGGCCACGGGGAATTAGGCCACGGGGGAGGTGTGGTGGTGGAGGAAAACTTCGGGGGGGATATAATATGGGGGCCTGAATAATTAAAATAAGGTTTTGGAGGAATCTTATAGTATATCTATAAAGGGATCATAAGGTTAATATTATTCCGACCCCTATATTGACCCCCCAGGGGGGATGCCTCAAATTGAAGCGGGCAGTTCAGCACTGCAGAGAATTCGCGCCGAGCAGTGGAACTGCGGACAGTGGACATGTGCAACATAGGGGCCTAAATAATTCGAATGTTTTGGGGGGGGGATATTTTGGTACATATACCATTAGTAATTCTTCCGACCCCTATATTGCATGACTTCAACACATTTTCGGTTGCATGTCCAGCTACAGGACGACAATCGTGTCTGTGGGAGAAGGAGGCTCTGCTTCGGGCAGGTCTTCCTCAGTGCTGCACTCCTCAGTCGTCAGGTGCCCTGGCGAAGTCTCCTGCAGCCCAGCCGTCTGAGGCTTCTGGCTGCAGTTGTAGCGAGGGTGCACGCCAAGGCAGCGGAAGAGAAGGGCAGCGATGGGAATCCAAACCAGCGCTTGGAGCGCCATGCCGTATGACAAGTGCCGATGTTCCTTGGGGAGTATGTCCAGCACGAGGAAGCAGTATCGTTCCAGCTGCACAGCAGTGACAAACAGGGCCACTATGCACACGAGGACGAGGACGTTCTGCAGCCAGTCGCATCTCCGTTTCGCACGCAAGACGTGAGCCACACGCATGGACAGCAAGAGAATGGAAGGCGCGATGCCCAGCCACCATGCAACACCTCGAAGAAGCTCCCTAACAACGCCATCGTGGAACCGCTCGTAAGTCCGCCTGCAAGCCAGGAGCTTGTTTGCGACCAATTATGGAAAGTTCTACTAGAGTCAAGTCAACGCATATATTACATGTACACAATATGGACCTTCAAAAACAAGATTGCGAGATGCGTCGAGTCTCCACTCAGCAGATGTGGTGTCGATGAATGCCAAAGCAATGGGAATCAGGGAAGCAATGCACTGCCAGTAGCTGAAAAAGTCCTTTGACAGCTGCTGCATGAGACAGCTTCGAACTTCTGTTTGGACGCGACGCTCGAATGCCTCCACTGTGCCATACCACAGGGCGATGGTCCTCAGCAAGACATCCCTGTCGCATAGCAATGCATAGCATATCTCCTGGGTGGTTCTTCTGGCAGCAAAAGCACGTCGCCTTGTCGATGGTGAAGTTGCGCAGGTCCTGCTCCAGCGTGGCTATGGAGCGGAAGTAGTCCCGAATTGCAGCCATCACAACATACATGCCAATGAAGAGGACCAAGGCCTGAGTCGTCCAGAGGAGAGCGTTGTTTCCGTCAGGAATGGCCCCAACTGCGGCGGTGACGGCGAACAGGCTCAGGGTCAGCAGCATGCAGCAGGGCCCCAGCACTGTAGGCAGAATCAGCATCTTGGGCTGAGCTCCTTGACGGCTGTGAAGAAAGCCGCTGAGTTCGAACACACACCACCTCGGGGCGAATTACAGGGGAATAGCTGGATGGCCTACTGTGCAACAACTATACAAAGACACATCCAGCAAGGCCAGGCCAACGGCAAAGGGAAGCCTTGACGTCTTAGACGTGTCACTCGCTGCATCCGAGAAACAGTCGCCGCATGTAAGTCTCGTCCCAAAGCACGAGGATCGAATCTGAGAACTTGAGAAAGGCACCCATGCTAAACAGTCCGAGGACCTTCTGCCGGGCATCGTCTTGGCTTATGCACAGCCTGTCGACAAACACAGACTGATTTGGCCGCCAGAAGACCATAGTGAGGATGTAGAGAACAAACCCCACTACCAGAGCCCAATAGCTCCGAGGGTACTCGTAGGTGTGATAGTCCCGCCATGACCAGTTCATGCCCTCGATGAGCTCTGCTCCGTACAGGATGGCAACTGTGGCTGCGCCGGTGGTTGAGATCAGGGTGGCGGGAAGCGCGTTGTACAAGAAGAGGGCTGTGGCGACCTTCTGCAACTGGCTCCCATGCCAACCTTGCTAGCCCAGTAATGGCCCAGTAACCATATTCTAATAAGGGCACCCTTTTTTGGGTTGGTTTGTTTATAAGGGAACCCATAATTAAAAAAAGTGTAAGGGGTACCACTGGGCTACCGAGAAACTGTGACTCCAGAATCTGTGAATCCGCTTGGTCGGGTGGCTGAGGTGGTAGCCCGCCCCACCCCGAAGAACATGTCCAAGTCCTTGGCTGCGTGATGTTGAGTGGGGTTTAGGGTTTATAGGGTTTATTTAGGGTCAGGGTGAAAACGGATGTACATGGATGTACCCCATCAGCAGTACAATGTATAGGGGCCTGAATGATTAGAATATATATATATATGTATCTATCTATCTATATACATGTATATAAATAAATAAATAAATATGTATATATATTATTTATTTACTATTATTACTATGTTTTTTTTTTTTTTTTTTTTTGGGGGGGGGGGGGGGGGCGGGGGGGTGAGGGGGGTTTCTTTTAAGATAAGTTCAAAGGAACCCTGAAAGAAGACTCTTAGAAATTTATTCCGACCCCTGCATGCCGGAACTCACATCAGCACCACCAACATGGGCAGGGGGGGCTCGTGAAATTGGAATAAGTATTGTGGGCAGCGCTTGTACACACACGCATAGACATGTAGATATATATATATATACACACATATACTTTTGTAGAAAATAGTGATAATAAATCTAAATAAATATAAATAAATATATAAATTATATATATATATATGCATATTCGCGCGACTGTCGCTTTACCAGGTTTTTGACACTTCAGCATGCACATGTCCTACCAAGATACAGCCGCGACGACCATAGTTTCGACCCTTGCTCACATAGTATATTATGTATACCTTCCTATTTTTGTATATCTCCTTATAAATGTACAACTACAGGGACGATAGAAGGAACTGAAGCATGCTTAGGCCACCACCGTTACGCAGCATCACAAAGCAACACGCTGAGAGGCGCCCCGCGCAAAGCCTTAACCTAAGACTGGAGGACGAGCCATTCATACTAGTTGCCTAAATACCCACCCCCCCAAAAAAAATAATAAAAATTAAAAAAGAAAAACACATCGGGATGATTATTCTATATGTTTTGGGTTCTTAAGCAAATAGTAGATTAACCTGGATACTTGTTTCCGGTATGTCTACGGATTTGGGTTTAGAGTTTAGGAGTTTAGGGCAACTCGATGCTCCTTCAGCCCTTGCAGCGTATACACCAGACCCAGGAGTAGCCTAGGTGCTTTTTTGGTTCAACAGGGCTGATAAGGGAACCAAAACCCCCATACAACGGGAATAAGGGCCTACTCCAGGTCCTAGCAATGCACCAAAAGGTTGCGGAAGTACATAGATAGGGTTCATGGTGTGCTTTTGTGCCCTACTTGCCACCCGAATCGCTGGAAGCGCCACTCAGCAGGGACTGTCTGGGGACATGAACCCTAATATTGGGGTATAATCCCTATTAAGGTGTATGAACCATAAACTTGTTCAGGGTTCTTTTGGTCCGCAAGGTAAATTAGGTTTCTTAGTTGCTGAGTTCAAAAGCCACCCCAAAAGTGTAAACTTTGGTTCTATAGGGGTTATAGTATCCCAAAAAGTGAAAAGTGTACTCATTCACCCGCTAAGGTTTTTAGGACTCCGGCCTGTCAGCTATAACTCAACTTGCCGCCGTTGAAGCCCATATCCCCCCTCTTCCACCGCTCGTGCCCCAGAAGTTTGCCCTGAGAGAATCTGATGTGTTGTCAGTTGGGGGTGAAGGTTTAGGGTTTTAGGGTTTAGGGTTTCTGGGCATTGGTACTATATAAATGCCTTGTATAGTGGCTTACAACGCAGGCAGCCTTGGATTCAGGAAAGGGTCGGTGCAGAACCTGGTACGCAAACACGCAGCGGACGATGTCCGCGGACGCCGGCTTCATACGGGACATGAGCTGGGCGACCAGCTCTTCCTGTGTTGGACTGTCCTGACCATGCTCGGGGGTGGTACTTATTCACCAAATCTGTAATTATGACAATCTAACTGTACTTATAACCATGTTAGGGGACTTAAAGGGGCTGATAAGTGGGTTCTAAGTACAGTCACAGTTTGGTTTGTAAGTACCATGAACCTCCAAGTAGAACCAATACAAGACATCTGGTTGCGTAAACAAATCACAATGGTCAGATACAAAAAACAGGCGCCATTCCTAAGAAGACCAGGAACACCTCGAAATACCCCAACTGATTGTCATGAGACAGCTGAAGTTTTGTTCTGACCGACAAACGGGTATTTGCTGTTGTTGATCAGGATGAGAACAGGAATGGCGAAAGAAGAGTTGGCCTTCGCTAACCCAATAGAAACGTACAAGGACCTCGGCTCATTGACTTCACCGTGAGGTAGGGTTCAAGGGTTTCGATAGTGTTTGTTGGAGGCATCCTCTGTGAAGTTCTGAAAAGCCTTCCTCGTGCTCTTGGGGACTGCATGTATGACTCGGCCCTAAACCCCAAACCCTAAATCCTAAACCCTAAACCCTGAACCCTATTACCAAACACTGCGGGGGAGGCAGGCTGGGGGGGGGGCCAAGGTTGGGCGACTCCCCACTTCCCCCCCCCTTTTTGGGTTTTTTTTTCGCTCCCGCATAGCTGGCCGAACCGCAAAGCAGGGTGACGTCGATGCTACTACTGTGTCGGAAAAAGGGGGTCCAATACCAGACCCGACCTTCCATTCTGCCTGCCAGTTCCCTCCTATTTTAGGCTTTGGGGTTTAGGGTTTAGGGTTTAGGGTTTGGGGTTTGGGGTTTGGGGTTGGGGGTTCCCGAAAATAGGTGTACCCTTTTTGGGGAACCAGCTTTGGCCCGTGGGCCTCTCAACACAACAAGCCTACAAAGGTTAAAGGGGATTCTGTTCTATTTGGGGTAGAAAAGGGGTGACCCCATTTTGGGAAATACCCATATGCCTTCAAGCCCTCCAAACCTCTGAAGGGTTCGTAGGGGTGCGAACAGATTTGTTCTTTGGCATGTCTTTGGGTTCACCGATGCAGCCCGGAAAGCACTAAACCCTAAACCCTAAACCCTAAACCCTAAACCCTAAACCCTAAACCCTGAACCCTGAACCCTGAACCCTAAACCCTAAACCCTAAACCCTAAACCCTAAACCCTAAACCCACATCACAGGGTAACGCAGAGTACTGCCGGGTCTCCACGTCGGCATCACGCGTCTGTACAGACGTCTGGGCCTCGGACCAGCCCTTTCGATCCCCAAGAACTTAAGTTGCGGATGAGGGCGTTTAGGTTTAGGTCTTAAGGATTTAGGTTAGGGTTTAGGGCCTTAGGGGTAACTTAAGAGCCCTATCAGAGCTTCTCCTATCATACGAACATACAAGACCCAAGTAGGTAGGTTCGGAGGTCTGAAGGTTCAGAATGGACACAAGCCACAATTCAGGGATTCGGCGTGCTTCGGCTTCTGGTGCAGGCCATTGCTGTGGATCCCCCAAAATGGGGATTTCAATATCAACCGAACCTGAAGCCCGAAGCTGAAGCCAAAACGAACTTCTCTGCGACCAAAGTGTCTTCCATGGCGCTTCCAGGCTCCCGGGGCTTCTAGTCGTCAGGCGCACGACGGCACGGAGGATCACAAGTGTCTTGGTTTCCAAGGGTCTATCGGACAAGTGGGGGCGCGGGAGACTTGCGCAATGTTCAGCCCCCTTGGACCTACAACCCAAGCATGTCAGCAGAAGAAGAAGACCTGCGAGCCATGTGGTCTGCAGGAACGCTCAAAGGCGTAGATGGCTCATAGAAGTCATTCTTAAGTTTTTTGTTGATCCCTAACCTTATTTGTTCTAAATAAGCATAAGCCCCAAAAAAACAACCGCACACACGCTCGCCCTCCGAAGCACTCTGTGCATCCCTTCCTCTCTCCTGCCGCTCCTGCCTTTGTATTCTGTTGCACGACACAAACCATGTGGGAGACTAGGTGTGCCCTGCAAGAGTTGTATGGCTGATTTGTTTTGTAGGATTCGCATGGACTATGAGCCCCCAAACTTACGTGTCGGTGGACGACTCAAAAGCTCCTCAAGCAAAGGGCTTGCCTTTGGCATCCCTCGGTGGGTTGTGAACGCACACCCTCTTTTGGGGGGTGCTTGTGCAAAAGTTAAGACAAATCAAAACCACACCCCTAAACCCTAAACCCTAAACCCTAAATCAAAACCACACTCCCTCAGGCCAGGGGGGAGGCGTGGATCTGCGGAAAACTTTCGGGGGTGGGGGGACGGGGGGCCTACCCCTCAGGGTGGTGCTGCTTCAACTGAAGTGCAGCAGAGAGGGTAGTCTGAAATAGTTTTCGGCTACATGTCCAGCTACAGGCCAACAATCGTTCCTCTGGCAGGTGGAGGCTCTGCTTCGGGCAGGTCTTCCTCCGCGGTGCCGCACTCCTCAGTCGTCAGGTGCCCTGGCGAAGTCTCCTGCAGCCCAGCCGTCTCAGGCTTCGGGCTACCCATGTAGCGAGGGTGCACGCCAAGGCAGCGGAAGAGAAGGGCAGCGATGGGAATCCAAACCAGTGCCTGGAGCGCCATGCCGTATGACAAGTTCCGATGTTTCTTGGGGAGTATGTCCAGCACGAGGAAGCAGTATCGTTCCAGCTGCACAGCAGTGACAAACAGGGCCACTATGCAGACGAGGACGAGGACGTTCTGCAGCCAGTCGCATCTCCGTTTCGCACGCAAGACGTGAGCCACACGCATGGACAGCAAGAGAACGGAAGGCGCGATGCCCAGCCACCATGCAACACCTCGAAGAAGCTCCCTAACAACGCCATCGTGGAACCGTTCGAGATACCGCCTGCAAGCCAGGAGCAGGGTTGCGACCAATTCTGGAAAGTTCTACTAGAGTCAAGTCAACGCATATATGCATGTACACAATATGGACCTTCAAAAACAAGATTGCGAGATGCGTCGAGTCTCCACTCAGCAGATGTGGTGTCAATGAATGCCAAAGCAATGGGAGTCAGGGTAGCAGCACACTGCCAGTAGCTGAAAAAGTGTTTTGACAGCTGCTGCATGAGACAGCTTCGAACTTCTGTTTGGACACGCCGCTCGAATGCCTCCACTGTGCCATACCAAACGGCGATACTCCTCAGCAAGACATCCCTGTCGCATGTCATACCTCCTGGGTGGTTCTTCTGGCAGCAAAAGCACGTCGCGTTGTCGATGGTGAAGTCGCGCAGGTCCTGCTCCAGCGTGGCTATGGAGCGGAAGTAGTCCCGAATTGCAGCCGTCACAACATACATGCCAATGAAGAGAAGTACGGCCTGAGCCGTCCAGAGGAAAGCTTTGTTTCTGTCAGGAATGGCCCCAATTGCGACGGTGACGGCGAAGAGGCTCAGAGACTGCAGCATACAGCAAGGTCCCAGCACTGTAGGCAGAATCAGCATCTTGGGGCGAGCTCCTTGACGGCTGTGAAGAAAGCCGCTGAGTTCAAACACACACCACCTCGGCTATAGGGGAATTGCTGTATGGCCTACTGTGCAAAAAACAAACGGAAGCCTCGACGTCTTAGACGTGTCACTCGTTGCATCCGAGAAACAGTCGCTGCATGTAAGTCTCGTCCCAAAGCACGAGGATTGAATCCGAGCACGAGAGAATAGCGCCCATGCTAAACAGTCCTAGGACCTTCTGCCGGGCATTGCCTTGGTCTATGCACAGCCTGTCGACAAACACAGACTGACGTGGCCGCCACAAAACCATCGTGAGGATGTAGAGAGCACATCCCACTACCAGAGCCCAATAGCTCCGCGGGTACTCGTAGGTGTCATAATCCCTCCATGAATAGTTCCTTGGGGACGAAGTGAACCCGAAAATTGGGGCGATGTACCCTATACTACTATAACTCCTATTAAGGAAAATGAACCATGAACCCGTTTAGGGTTCATTTCGTCCCCAAGGTTCATGCCCTCGATGAGCCCTGCTCCATACAGGATGGCAACTGTGGCTGCGCCGGCAGTTGAGATCCTTGTGGGGTTTAGGGTTTAGGGTTTAGGGTCATATACCCTGACTAATTACTCTAAATTCCTGTCTTAAGGGAATTATGAACCATAAGCCCTTTTAGGGTTCGTAACTCGTCCCCAAGGATCAGCGTGGCGGGAAGCGCGTTGTGCAAGAAGAGGGCTGTGGCGACCTTCTGCCACTGGCTCCCGTGCCAGCTGTGGCTCCAGAATCTGTCAATTCCTTAGTTGTCCAGTACCTAGGGGAACTAAAGGTTTAGGGTTTAGGGTTTAGGGTTAACCTTTGGGATTATACGGGGATTATATTACACCAAAAAGGTTAAAGGTTACATACTCTACTAAGATTCTGGCGGTTGGGTGGCTCAGGTGGTAGCAGCTCCTCCCACCTCGAAGAACGTATCCAAATCCTGGGATGTATCATGTTGAGTGGTTTAGGGTTTAGGGTTTAGGGTTTAGGGTTTAGGGTTTAGGGTTCCTTGCGTTGAGGGTCAGATGGGTTGACAGTGGGGGCTTCGACTCCCACACTCGCTTGAGGCGGGCAAGGCTTCGGTACTTCGGGTCTAGGGTTGCAGGGCATTCTGGGCTTACAGTGGAGTAGGAACTACCCGTGAATAGTAGGTCGAACCCATCAAACTGTAGGTAAAGAGGGTCCCACAGGTAGGGTTTTATAGTGATAGTCTTACAATGCAAGCAGCTCTGGATTTACCTACATGGGCTATTACACCCCAAGCCCCCTTAAAAAGGCCCTTTATTGGGTTGGTTAGGGGATTCTAAGGCCTGATAGCCCATGCTGGTAGGAAAGAGTCGGTGCAGAACCTGATACGCGCGGACGGAACGAATGATGTCGACACCCGCCGGCTTCATACGTGCCATGAGCTGGGCGATCACCTCCTCCTGTGCTCAGTAGCATGGGCTACTAAGCCTTATCTAATGCATGGTTGGGATAATATTAAAAATTGAAGTCTGTATTCCTTATTGGGTTTAAGTACCTCCATAAAAATGTAAAATGGCACCCAACTATGACAAAGTTATAATCCCCCCAACCAACCCTATAAAGGGGCCTTGTTAAGGGGTTGCAGGGTATAATGGCCCATGTAGGCAAATATCCTGACCCTAGAGCCTACGCAAGGCATCCGTGTGCGTAAGCAAGTCGTTGGGTTCAGAATAACAAACCATATGGTCCCCAAGAGCCTCCCATTCCCTGATCTTGCGGCAGCTCGAGTCTTCCCTAAACCCTAAACCTTAAACCCTAAACCCTAAACACTAAACCCTCAACCCACCTCACAGGGCAACGCGGCGTCCTGCTGGGTCTCCACGTCGGAGCGCGGAAGCGCATCGAGCTCTGCGGACGTCAGGGCCTCAGACCAGCCCTTCAGACCCCAGTGCCGACGTTGTTTCTTGAGCAGGTTGCGTTTAAAGAATTCCTACATGAAGAAATGCACAAATGAATAAATACATGTATGTATGTATGTATGTATGTATGTGGGTATATATATATATGTATGTGCATCTAGGCATATATGCGTATACCGTATACCTATACACATGTGTATCTATGTATGTATGTATATATATATATATATGTCTACATATGTGTGTATATGTATACATGTGCATATCTGTATATATGTATATCACACGAACCTACAACGTATTACGTTCGGGGTTCGGTAAGGTATAACAGACACAGGCACCTTACACAATGAACCATGCGACGACTCACAGCCACCTGGGCCCAACCCACTGCAATGGCCTATGAACCTGAGACCAAGGCTTCACGTTGCTTTTTGTTGGGATTATTGTTCATTATGCTTTTTTTTTTGGGGGGGGGGGGGACTCCGGGTGGTGCATATCGTTTGCCCTAAACCCAAACCCTCAACCCTAAACCCTGAACCCCAAACCCTAAACCCTAGCCCTAAACCCCAAAAAAATTCTGAGAACCTCTGCGAGCGAGGTGACCGCCATGTCGCTTCGAAGCTGCCCGGGCTTTTCAATGCCAAAAAGGATGTCCAGGGTCTCTTGCTAGAGGGCTCGTACACGGAACACGGGGTTTAGGGTTGAAGAGCTTGAGGGCTAAGGGTGGGTTTAGGGTAAATCACTAGCACAAGAACAGCTCTACCAGTTTTGGAGGGTTTCGGGCTTCAGGCTCGTTGGCATGAGGCCTGCTATATTTTGTAGCCCTTGGGCCGGCCCCTCAGGACATGTCAGCAGAAAATCAAAGCATGCACAGCTCACATTCTACGTTGCAGATATTCAAGTTTTAGGGTTTAGGGTGGTGTGGCACACGCATAGGGTTTAGGGTTCGGGGTTCAGGGTTTAGGGCTCATACACCGTTTATGAGATTTTGGTACTTGGCCTAGGCTACGGTGGACGGTGATCTCAATTTTAAGCTTCAGTCAGTCCCAAAACAATCCTGAACCCTACATACCCCAAACCCTCTAAACCCTCTAGACCCTAAATCCCAAACCCTATAAACCCATTTTGAACCTGGAAACTGCTTCATGCCCGGACAGCACCCTTGCAGAGGCTTCATACAACCCTAAACCCTGCATCCCAAACCCTAAACCCTAAACCCTAAACCCTAAACGCTAAACCCTAAACCCTAGCTGTTAAAAACCCTTGAGCCCGAGTCTGCATGCATCGACCCTGCGGGCTGGCAGATGGGTTTAGGGTTTAGGGCTGGTTTAGGGTTTAGGGTTTAGGGTTTAGGGTTTAGGGTTTAGGGTTTAGGGTTTAGGGTTTAGGGTTTAGGGTTAGGGTTTATAGGGATGTTTAGGGTTGAGGGTGGTTTAGGGTTCAGGGTTTAGGGGTCTCAACTTCAAGGGGCGCCTGGAGGTTTGAGGGTCTTAACTGAATACAGCCATGAACGGAGGATGGGGTCCCTTAAGCCAGAATGGGCAACCCTTTTTGAACAAACAACCTCAGCAACGCATGTGGCAATGCAACAACTGCTTTCGCCCGTGTCTGAAAGGCGTGGATGCGGACGCGAGGACTTCCTACGTGCGCTCTGCACCAGCATGCCCAGTGTCGTCGGAAAGCAACTGCCGAATCTCCTTGTGACGGGATTGATCTACGTGATTGTCCGCCGTTCTGCCGGACCTGTCTTGAATTTTCTTGTTGGCGCCAGATTCCAGTAGCAACCGAACGAAATCTAGGTGACCTCGTCCTGCTGCACACATGAGAGCGGTGTTGCCGTCGTCGTCCTGCAGGTCTTTGTTGGCACCCACTTCCAAAAGAAGCTGAGCAATCTCCAGATGGTTGTTTTTGGCCGCATACATGAGAGCTGTGTGGCCGAACTGTTCCTGCGTGTCTTTGTCAGCACCAGCTTCTAACATTGTGCTAGCAATCTCCACACAGCCAGCCTTTGCTGCGTACATGAGGGGGAAAGCTGCTAGATTCCGCACCTCGTCCTGTGAGCCGTTTCTGGCAGCAGCAGCTAGCAGCAAACGCACCATCTCCGCGTGGCCTTTCCCAGCTGCAAGACAGAGAGCTGTTTTGCCTGGAATGGCACCAGCTTCCAACAGCAGCCTTACCATCTCCATCATGCCCAATTCAGCTGCAACACTGAGAGCTCGGTCACCCGTGGCTTGCAGGCTTTTGGCAGAACCAAATTGCAAGAGCAGCCGGGTTATTTCTGTGTAGCCTCTCTCAACAGCATGAACGAGGGCTGTCTTGCCCAATGCATCCTGCTTGCCCTGGTCAGCGGCCGCTTCTAGTAACAACCGCACCATTTCGAGATGACTCCGTTGAAACCTTTTTTCAACTGCATGAATGAGGACCGTCTTGCCCAAGGCATCCTGATGGTCCTTGTCAGCCCCCGCTTCCAGAAGCAACCGGACCATTTCGACTTGACCCTTTTGAACCGCCGAGATCAACGCATTTTTGCCTGCCTGACTTTGCAGGTCCTTGTTGACACCAGCTTTCAACAGGAACCGCGCCATTTCGATGTGGCCGTTCTCTACTGCATGCCCAAAAGCTGTGCTGCAGCACCGCTCCACAAATGCCTGTCGCCAGTTTCCATCAGCAAACGTACAATGGCCACATGGCCGTTCTGAGCTGCGTGCAAAAACCCTGTGGTGCAGTCTCGGCACAGGGGGTTCAGCTGAAGGCCAGCTGCTAACAGTGCACGCACAGCCTCCACGTGACCGCATTTGCAGGCAGCGATATAATCCATGGTCGCCTGCTCCCTCTGAAAGCGTGTGCACAGCAGCAGCAACACTAGCTGCAGGTCACAAGGCGAAGCCAACCTGGTGCAGTCATCCAAGCTGTGGCCGTCGTGTAGGAGCTGTTGCATGAAGACAGGAAAGCCATGCAGCCTCTTCAGGGCTTGCTTCACGTCTCGGACGGACGTGATCCGGTCTGTACTCACGGCAGCCAACTCTTCCCCTGAGATCCTCCAGATGTGGATCATGGGCGCTCGCAAGCAGAAAAGCCGCAGTGGGATGACTGAAGCCGGAAGTCGTCAGTTGCCCTCCTCTCTTGTCTCCATGCTGCATGCCAGGGGTCCTCTGAGCACTAACAGCTGCTCATGCAGCCTAACAACGGCTCAGCTGTCTACTTGAGAAGTGTAGAGATCAGGGGTTTGCAGGGGAGAGAGTTGGGGTGCCTTGTTGGGGTCTTCATTTTAAGGGAATCCTACCATTTGGGGTCCATTGTTAAGGGTCCCAAACCCCCCTTTGAAGCTGGGCTTGTTACGAATCATTAGCCTTCTGACAGGCCGGGAGCACAGGGTTTGAAATGATGCGAGGGCACGCTGTGCGAAGTACCGGAATGGTTCCCTAAACCCTACTTTATAGAACCCCAAAACCTCTGCCATCTTTGTTGGCCATGAGTTTAGGAGCCCCTGTTTTGGTTCTGTAAGTACACAGCAGGGGTGCATGCAGGGCACCTTCTGAGCCTTCTTGGCCGAAAGGTCTTGCAGCACGTGGACAGACTCCTGTCAGGCTAACCTTCAACCCTAAACCCGAAACCCAAAACCCAAAACCCCTTAAAGATATCTCCTGTATTTGGGCTCTTTTGTGTTTGTTAAGGTGTTCGGTGGTGAAATACTTCGGAAGGCATGAGGAAGTTGACAAAGAATGACAAAGCCACAAGCCATCCCAAACAAGAACGAATTGGGTTTAGGGTTTAGGGTTTTAGTGTTGGCGATGCTACGGGTGTGTGGTAATTTCAGCCCGGTACTACAAGCCAAGACTCAAAATCTAAAAGCCCCCCCCCCCCCCCCCCCCCCCCCCCCCACCCCGCCGACCCAATCCATCAGCAACATACATAAGGGCTGTATATATGTGTATGGCACATATACATATACATATACATATATATATATACACATATGTATATATATATATATATGGCCCCAGGATTCACATATGTAGAAAGTAAGGATCTGACAGAAGTTGTGCATCCTCATTTCAGCGGATGTGAGCCTTGCAGACTGCAACCCACGAAGTTCACCGTGTTCCATGCAGGGGGGCGGCCTGTCCGCAAGGACAGGAGGGAGAGGACACCGAGGTAACATAGGGGCCTTAATAATTTGAGTATGGTTTTGGGGGTCAGTATAGTGATGTATAGTGTGTCTATAAACAAATTATAGGGATCATAAGGGAAGATCCTTAGTAGTTATAGCAGTTATTGGCGACCCCTATAGTAGGGACTGGCTCCAGCAATCACGCATGTCTGCCGTCAATGCTCTCCGCCTCTATGACGCATGCGCCGTAAACCATTTCGGGGAAACCCATGAGGATGCTTGACGCAATTTGAATCTTACCATGGGCAGTCATAGGGCCCCTATGGTGAATGGGCTTATTATGCAAGTACAGCAACCCGGTCGTCGCTTCAAGTTTGATGAGATGTGGGTGCAAATGAGTGGCCTGACCCTTCTCGCAGGCAGCTAAGCATCACGATGCCCTAAACCCCAAACCCCAAACCCTAATAAATCCGCATCCTCTTCTTAAGCAAGCGTCGTCAAGGCTGGTCTGTCTCGGCACAGCGCGCGATAGGGCTGTTGCGCAGCTAAGGCGGACCCGACGGAACGCTTCCAGTTGGGGGGGTAGGGCCCCTTTTGAGCCCGGGAAACCCTAAACCCTAAACCCTGTCCATATCGGAGAGGGGGGGAGGGGGGGGTTGGCTGGAATTGTAAGGTTTTAGGGCTACAACTCAACCCCGGCCTTTTCGAAATCTCTCTACCTCAAACCTTATCAGTTGGGACGTTCCCCCTTATCCTACAAGAATCCCTATCAAGGACTGTTAGTATACGGGGAACATCCCAACTTATTGCAAGCCCTAAAGCTTGCAAACAAACCCTAAACCGTAAACCTTAACCCTAGCCCGAATCTTTATAAGCCCTAAAATCCTGCAAGAATCCCTTATCGGTATCCCTCGGGTCGACAGCAGCCCGATTGCGCAGGCTCATTATCGGGCAGCTCCCACACACGCGGAGAGGGGCATGTGCCCGCGAGAGCATATGTACATATATATATATATACAGATATATGTATTTCCATATCTGTATTGGTATCTATACATATACATACACATATACATATACATATACTCACACACACATATACATATACATATGCAAAAAATTGTGTACAGAAAAACACATACAATTTCGCCTGCCTCCTCAATCCTGTACTTAGGCTGCAAAAGGCGTTAGTGGGTCTGAAGCTCGTCTACCCTGAGCCCTAAACCCTAAACCCTAAACCCTAAACCCTAAACCCTAAACCCTAAACCCTAAACCCTAGCCCTAAATCCTAAACCCTAAACTCTGAACCCTAAACCCTGTGGTTCACCAGGCGGGGCTTTGGGTGGGAGAGTGGGTAAAGGCTTGCTCCCACTCTACCTCCAGAACCTATAAGACTAGCTATAAGACCAAGAAGGGATGCCGTTCTCTTGCTGCATGCCCGAAGCCATATAAAAAAGGCGACTGGTAGCAGAGTCGAGCTGGGGTGCTTATAGAGGATCCCTGACAGTTTTAATTTTCGTAGCAACCCTGAAATTCTAAAGCCCGAAAAGTCGATGGGTGTTGGAGCTCACAGGGCTGGGCTCGGAGGTAGCGATAGCGATGAGAGGGTTTCTGGCGGTTTCGGGGTCAAGGATGAGTCTTTGTCTTCAGATGCTAGTCGGCTGCAATATGGATCTAGCTACCCTGCGGTTGCTTTCCATGAATTGGAGGCGAAGCACAAGCCTGCCTTCCAGGGTGTGGGAAGCAGAAATCGAGGTTGCTGTGAAGGAGCGTCAATTAAGTTGCCATTGATAATGTGGAACGGTGTTCTTCTTTTGTATAGCTAGTATATACGCTATCTATATATATATTTATATATATATATATGGTACCATAGATAAATATGTATATGTACATCTGTGTATCTGCATAAAAATAAGTAAGCCAGTCGCGACATGTTTATATATAGTCCATATACACTTCCAACAAAATGTAAGTGTCCCAACAGCAACCCAGAAACGGGGCGGGATCTCGAGAGGACGCGTCTCTGAGCTCCCGCCCGGCCGTGCGGTTCGGCGCAGGTCATTTGCAAGAAGGTTCTCTTGGCAGGGTTTGGGGATCACGGTTTAGGGGTATTCAAGATAACCCAAAACCCTTGTGTAACTTGTGCAACTTTTTGGGTCCTGCTTGCTAAGCTAGAGGCATGTGATGAGCAAGCGGCCACCCGCCTTTGCTTCCCTTTCGGGCTCCACACACTCCCGACCCTGTAACTCGAATTTTGGAGAGCCGAACCTGTTTTGGGATGCTTTGGTTGTGGCCAACCTTAAACCCTAAATGTAAACTCTAAACCCTAGACCCTAGACCCTAGACCCTAAACCCTAAACCCTAAACCCTAAACCCTAAACCCTAAACCCTAAACCTTCGGCGGTTGCTTCAATTTCGGGCGAAGGTGTTTTGGGGAGGAGAGGGCGGGCCTCCTTTAACCTCCAAGCCTCTTAATCTTCAATTGTTGGGGCTCGGGAGTTCAATAGGGTTTAGGGTTTAGGGTTTAGGATTTAGGGTTCAGGGTTCGATTTCCTGAACATCCTATTTGGGGGGGGGGGGGGGGGGGATGCTGTATCTTCCGAGGGCAGTGGGTCTGGCACGCTCCAATCTACACACGCCCGGGGTTGAAATTTTCCCCAAACTAACTTTGTTAATAATACCACAATACCCCAAATGCAGCAGCTACTCTAAACCCTGAACTCTAAACCCTAAACCCTTCTTGGGCAACGGACTTTGGAGGCTGCCGGCAAACATGCAACTTCTCAGAAGTCACATCACGCAATCTGACGCAAACCCTAAACGCTAAACCCTAAACCCTAAACCCTAAACCCTAAACCCTAAACCCTTACTTCAAAGAGCTTCCCCCACTTCGATCCTCGGCGATTCTTGGGGTGATCCTGCCCTCAAACCCTTTTTGGGAACTAGGCACAAGCATCTGGGAAGCCGCCATCTTGGTTCGAGTCTTGGGCTCACTTTCAGGGTAACGGGAGGGCGTGACGGTTTACTTTTTAGCTTTTAGGATTGAGTGTATTTATAGGGTGCAGTTTTGAAGTTCGTTAGGGTTGACATTCTCGCTTTGCATTCCATGGGTGCCGTGACTTCCAGCAACATCCAGCTGTACCCTCTATGACTGCTCCACGCCCACAACCCTAAACCCTATTTTTTGCAACAGGCTCTTTGCCCGGCCCTAATTTCTAAACCCTAAACCCTCTCAAACAGTCTGGTTCAGCATCCTACAGGTAGGCATCTCGAACCAGATAAGACAGCCTCCGAATTTCTACAGCAGTACTTGTGACGGCACTACTCCGATTCTTTTGGCTTCTTTTTCTTTTTCTTCTTCTCCGCCTTGGAGTCGTCTTCCCCCTGGCAAGGCGTGATCGGTTTGACCACTTGGCCAAACGCTGAGGCCCTCGAAACCCAAGGAAGCACACTAAGCATCCATAATACGAATAAGCTTCTGAGGCTTCTGCTTATGATCCCGAAACCCGTAAACCCTTCCCCCCAAAAAAAAACACAAAAAAAGAACTGACAACACGAGCCAGCCCCCTTCACTACTGCCATTACACAGGAAACATAGAGCAGAGTGCTGCCATGTGTTCGCAGGAAGACTTCACGCATTTGCTCCCTCCGGAGCACACAAAGAACACGGGTAATGTCGTAACATAAAGAACTTTACGCACAAGGGGGGGAACCTATGTTTCTTGCAATTACAATAAAAAGGCTCCTGTAGTATGCTCCGGAGCATACTTCGGCTCCCAACCATGAACGCTCAACCCTAACCCCAACGCCTGTTGGAGCTTCTCGAGCTTCTTGTCGGAGGCAGAGGTGGCATACAGGTCCTGGCCGTCGTCCGTGACCTGTCAGGCGATTTTGAGCAGAGTCAGAAGACAAGGCAGGTTGACCCGGTAACAAAGGGTGCCCCCTTTTTGGCTTAATTAAGGGGGTTGGATAAGGGAGCCTAAACCCTCCCAAAAAGGGAATAAGGGTACTGGCATCCTAGCAAGGAAGAAGCCCTGTCTGCGGCTCACTGCCGGAGTATAGGAAGACAAAGTCAGAAAAATGGAGCCAGCCCAGTCAGGAACACAAAAACTCACCGAGTCAAAGAAAGCAAGCCCCTTTGGGAAGGGGGGGGTTGGGGGCTATGATACGATTTTTTTAATACTCCTAGGTTTCTCCTATTGTTCTTCAAGCCCCAAGATCTTCAGGAGCGGCTGTGGCAATGGTGAGAAGGAAGGGTGCGAAGCACCGCTCGGCTGACCCGGAAACAAGAACCTTGCATAAGCCCTCAGCCCATTCTGGCTTACCCCAAGAGCCCACGAACTTTTGCCGAAATAGAGCAGGGGATCTTGTAAACCCCCCTAGACCCTAAAACCCTAAACCCGAAACCCTAAACCGATACCCTGTAAACCCTTGTATAGAAGCCCCGAACATGTCCTATCACAGACGCAGCCCTGTATACACCCCAAACCCTAAATCCTAATCCTAAACCCTATAGGGTTTATAAAACCTATAGGGTTTATAAATCCTATAAGCCTCCTGTAAACCCTTCAAAACCCTGAGCCCCGCAAGCCCTCAGCGCCTCCGGCGGAGGCGGCGGCTTCTCCTCCTTCACCTCTGGTGGCGCCTCGAGGTCCTGTGGCTCTAAAGCGGACAAAGAGTTTAGGGTTTAGGGTTTAGGGTTTAGGGTTAGGGTTTAGGGTTTAGGGTTTAGGGTTTAGGGTTTAGGGTTTAGGGTTTAGGGTTTAGGGTTTAGGGTTTAGGGTTTAGGGTTTAGGGTTTAGGGTTTAGGGTTTAGGGCTTAGGGCTTAGGGCTTAGGGCTTTGGGGTTTGGGGTTTGGGGTTTAGGCTTCTGCAGTGGCCAAAAGCTGTCATGAGAGGCTTTCGCGGTTTGAAACCGAGTCTTAGATGCGGCCCATGTAGCTTCTGGGGGCGGATGGGTTACAGGCGTATATGAAGTAGGGTATCTATTTCTTGTACCCCCAAAAGGACACCAGGTATATACACTCACCAATATTGAAAAGGAACCGAAATATACACTCACCAAGAACAGGAATATAAACCCTGCTTCATATAAGGCTTCGGGGTTCCACCTGCCTGGCAGATGACTTCGACAAAAGACGTCGCATGCCATCCTGTATACACTTGGGAAGGAGTACCCCCTAGCCTTGTATACCCCAAATAGAATAGAATCCCCTTAAAGGGGCCCCCCAAAAAGGGTACCCCTATTTTCGGTAACCCCCGTGCATGGTTCCAGAGGCAGACTCGGCAGAATCTGCGGAAGGAAAGCAGTTTTTGTTGCGACTGCTCGGCTGCCATGTGAGCTGCGGCTTCCACAAGCCCGCCAAGGCTAACAAGGCCTTGGGGGCCGTGGAACACCGCCCACAGAAATGCCCATAGCTCAACATCGAACATAGGGGCCTTGATAATTAGAATTATAAAGGGACAATGAGGGAATACTATTAGTAATAGTTCCGACCCCTATAGTACAGCACCTGCGGGTTTACAGCATGTTGAATGAGCTGAAATATTACCAACTCTGAGCGACTCCTGAGCTGGGCAAGTCAGGCATATCCTTCGCAGGCAAATTCCAAGGCCCGGGGAGGCCGAAGGCTTGGGGGCCTTTCAGCAGCTGCTTTCAGAATGACGTAGGCATTAAACGTTATAAACTCTTACTTTACACCCCAAGAGATGAAGCGAGAAGAAAGCAGCAGCATCTAACCTCGCACTTGTGCGAGGCAGTGACCAAGGCTAACAAGGCCTTGGCCATCAGCCAGCACATAGAGGTGCACGGCCCGATGCCCAAGAAGCAAACACTTGAGAAACCTGTACAAGGCTGTGAGGGAACCTCTTGCCATAGTTGACAAGAAACAGGTCATTGAAGCCCAAACAAACAGGTTCTCAGCTTTCGATCTAATCTGCTGGGGGACGTCAGCTTTCGATCTAATCTGCTGGGGGAAGTTCCTCACGCAAAGTCTATCAACCCTGGCAGCCTGCCCGAGCACACTTCGTGCCTCAGAGGCTTGCTACCCACAAGCCCACCAAGGCTAACAAGGCCTTGGCTGCCGGCGAAAAAACGCAAGCTTCGAGGGCGTGAATTCCATGGGTGGGGCACCCCAGCGGCTGCTTGCACCGTGCTGCAGCTACACGTAGCTACAAATGAAGACATATAGTTGTTGAAGCCGGAAGGAAGGCAGCAGCATGTGACATCGTGCAAAGCCTTCACCAAGGCTACATGGCCTTGGCAACCCGGCGCACGGATGTCCATGTCAGATGCCCCTGTGCCAAAAACACAAGCAACATTGAGAACCTCTGGTCAAGATCGTAAGATACGAGGCAGCATGGGTTTTGATGTCTAAGAGGAAGATGCATGCCAGCAGTAGCCCTCCAGCGCCGGCCCTCAGAAACCTGTATCTTTCAAGCCTGAGCTGTAGACCTCTTGCGTTGCAATTCCCTCTGAACCCTCAAAGCCCTAAGCTTTCAAGCCAATAAGGCCCTCTTGAGTAGACCCTAAACCCTAAACCCTAAACCCTAAACCCTAAACCCCTCCATGCATCCCTCCGCCCTCAGCTCTGGGACGGGTATTCCGAGAAAAATAAGCTGGAGTCAGTTCGGAGGCCGCCCTCCATGACGATCATCGGCCTCGTCTTCTCAACAGGGGAGTATATACTGTGTGCCATATCGTGGGTTCATTCGTGCATCGTAGAAAAGAATGTAGTACTACAGTACTAGACACAAAGCCACAAGTACGAAACACACAGACAATAAAACACACAGCAGAAGCGAGAGAGAGAGAGAGAGAGAGAAAAAAAGAAACAAAGAAAAAACACTATGTAAAAGCACATGTAGAGGTGGAAGTACACAGAGTTTAGGAGGCGTGATGGAAGAGCAGACACCATAGGAACAGGAACGTGAGGAGGCCCGGTAAAGATGGGGGGCACACATCTCTGATGTCGCTTGGGCCTCTTGGCACTTCAGAAACCATCTCATCACAAGGGTTCCCCTGTTTGGGTTGGTTTAGGGTTTAGGGTTTAGGGTTTAGGGTTTAGGGTTTAGGGTTTAGGGTTTAGGGTTTAGGGTTTAGGGTTACTTTACAAGGGAACTTTGAACCCACAAAAATGGGCAAAACATTAGTAAAAAGGGTACCACTGGGCTGCCAAGACCTAGTCCCTAAGGGTCCGTGTACCTAAATAGGGAGTACTTGGGCCTTAAAGTACTTGCTATGTAGGGTATTTGGGGCCTTAAAGTACTTGCTATATAGGGTATTTGGGGCCCAAGTATACAATAATTAGGTACATGGTTACATGGACCCTTAGGGAGTTCCAGAATCAAGCCCGAGCACTCGTGGTCGTCTGCTTCCTCGTCTCGCAGGGGCTCGCGGCACAAGGCAGGGCGCCACTTCCTTGCGGGGCTCAGCAAACCCCCCCAAAAAGGTGGGGGGGGGGGGGGGGTAATCCCTTATAAGGCCCTAAACCCTAAACCCTAAACACTAAACCCTAAACCCTAAACCCCATGAAAGGGCTTCATTTGGTCCCCAAGGTGCTTGCTCAGGGTGCGCAGCGCGCTGTCGATCAACTCGTAGTCCATCTGCAGAGCGAGGAGCTGCTCCTTGCCCAGCTCGTATGGGGAGCCTGACTTCAGAAGGGAGGGAGGGTTTAGGGTTTAGGGTTTAGGGTTTAGGGTTTCGGGTTTGGGGTTTAGGGTTTAGGGTTTAGGGTAGTTTAGCGTTTAGGGTTTAAGGTTTAGGGTTAGGGTTTAGGGTTTAGGACCAGGGATCAGGGTTGATAAGGCTCATAAAGGTTTAGTCAGCTGTATGTTAAGGGACCCCCTCCCCACCCAGCAGCATCTAAATTTGCATTGTGATGCGGTGGGGGCTTTGAGGCCGGGAGCCCTACGTTCTGTAACTACCCTTAGAAACCCCAAAAGGCCCTGAACCCTAGTTGCTAAACCCTAAACCCTGAACCCTAAAACCTAAACCCTGAACCCTAAACACTAAACCCTAAACCCTAATCCCTGTTCACCTGCAGGTTTTCGGAGTTTCCAACATCGCGCTTGTTTTCGGGGTCGACGGTTCCCTGTCGGACTGAACTAGGTGGGCTGCTGAATCCCTTATATAAGACTCGTGGAGGCAGGAGGGCTGACAGTGAGATGCTCAAAATTTTGGGATTTTTCAAAAAAGCCCTACAAGCAGCCTACATGAAACATAGACGGCCACAAATGCAGCACAACCCACAGAAGTTTGAAGAACTGCAGAAGTTTGGCCTTCGGTCTCCATGAGCTCCCGCATCTGCAGCTCTGTGCATGGAACGAACAGCGCCTTCACCGGGGACCAGTCCGGTGCCACCTCGCACCCGGCCTCGACAAGCGTTTAGGGTTTAGGGTTTATGGTTGATAGGTTGATAGGTTTGGAGTCATAGGCGGGGTTCATATGGTATGTTCTCAGGAGCTGGGAGTTGTGTTTGAAAAACGACTGTGATGTTCGGGTTTGGTGCCGCCTCCAGGACGCGGCGGTGCAGCTCAACCAGGGGCCCCTCGGCGTCGAAGAGCAGGTCGTTGACATGAGGGGCATTGGCCTTCCGCGTGAGCCTTGACTGCTTTTTCGGAACCCCTCTGGAACACTAAACCTAACATTATTAACATTTTACTGTCTCGACATTCACATCGAACCAGAAGAAGTGCATTCCAAAAAGGTATAGTAGCCGGAATACCACCACGCCATCCGAACTCAAAGGGGGAAGTTCGGCCCTGCTGTCGCGGACGGCCGTCAGCAGGTCGTCGTCATTGGACTTGGTTTCCTGACCTGGCAGTTCCTCGGCGTAGTCATCTTCGTTGACAGCATCCCGGTAGCCGCTATCATCAGCGGTGAGAGGCGCAGCGTCCTCCGGGGCCCCTTCTCTAGCAGCAACCTGGTACCCGGCATCATCACGAGTGAGGGGCGCAGTCGTCACAGCGACGGTCTGTTGATTTCCCGTCGGCGGTGGAGCGGATGCCAAGATCAGCTTCAGCTCCGAATCAGAAAACTGCCCAGCCCATGTGGGCCAATCCGAAACAAAGTCAAGGATTGCATTGACTAGTTCCAGCAGGAACGGCCCCTGGGGTCCGTGAGAGCGCACGGCCTGGCACAGAGCCGGGCCCTTCTCACAAGCTGTCCGTCGACGCAGCAAGGCAAGACCTGCTCGAAGCGCCGCCCCAGCTGCGGCTCTCCGTTCGCGCACGCTTGACGTCACCATCGGCTGGCACCAGCTACCAGTACCAACGTACAATGTTCTTCCAGGCGGGCCCTGCCTGCACAAAGGGCAGCGGTCCAGCCTCGGCGGCAGGAAGCATGGCCAGCTCGCGCAGGTTCTGCCGCAGAGTTCTGCGCATGTTATATCTCCTGTCATGATCGCCAATGAAATTAAGGAGTTCGAGGAAGCAGGTCGGCATGTCTCGCCCGCTGCGCAGCCGCAGTCGTCGAAACATGTAAAGAAGCGGAACTGCTCTATCCGAAGACCTGCAAGTGTGGCTGTCTCAAGCCGCTGTTGACAAAGCGACACCGTGTTTGCATTGATGTCGATATCCAGCAAAAGCAAGCCACAGTCCACGCCACATGAAGCATATGAGTTCATGTCATGTTGGCATAGGGCCACATCACCACACAATCCCATAGCTTCGCGACAGCTAATCGTTTCCTGAAATCGCACTGCGTCATCTATATCATGAAGGCAGATGTGCCAGAGACACGCAGAGAGATTCACCCCTGCCGCCAAAGCTGCCTTCATGCTCCTGGGCAGCGCGACGAAGAGACGCGGGGGGGTCCTCCTCATAATTCATGAAGTGATCCAGCCTCCATCTTCGCAGCGGCCGCTGCTGACCACGCTTGATACAAGACAGTGCCATCTTCTCGTCTCCGGTAAGGATGGCAATGTCCAGCAAGCGGGCCATAGCCACGTCCGTCAGCTCGACGCCTGGCAAGGGACTTCCAGACCGAAGGGCTTGAAACAGAGCCTGAGTCAGTGGCTTCTCAGCTGCCTTCCGTGCACACTCTTGCACATCCCGAAATCCAGCTGCCCAGTCCTGCATCCAGCAACCAGATTCCGGGTCAAAGCCCCAACAGCATTCCTCACAGGTTCTCCAGCTCCGTCCGCAAGACCTGCAGGCTGCCGAGGCATTTTGGAACCAAGCGAAAGGCCCAAGATGCTTTTGCTGCACAAGGCACCCTGGCACTCCGTGTGTCACAAGAGCACGGGCTGTGTCATCGAGTCCATATGCCATGCACAAGTTGAACAAGTGCTCATTGGAGTCGAGGTCCTGAATCTCCTGGCCCAGAATGTCGATCTCGCCAGCCAGGAGGCTCTTTGCCACTTGGAATTCGTTCACACCCGATATCTTCCCTTCCCAGTCATACCGCACGAAGGGCGCGCTTGCCATATAGCGAAGCAGTCTTTGGCCGTGGAGCTCGCTCTACGACACAGTATGCAGGGCAAGCTGGGACGATTGGGGCCGAAAACTACAGCATCAAGCACGCGCCCTGGATCTGCAAAGCGACTGCGCGTCTTTCCTCTATGGGGCGATTCCGAAGATAGGGGTACCCTTTTGGGGGGGGGTTCCTATATCAAGGAATATCAAGGATTGGGGCGCATTTGGGGTATGTTAGGGGTACCTCCCTATTTTGGGAAGTTTCCCATGTCGCATCTGGAACGGGCATCGGCGTTGCGCCACCCGAGGAGCTCCTCCAAGTCTTCGTCCTCCTCCTCGTTCAAGCCTTCCTCCTCCTCAAACATCGCCGCTTCCGCTTCCCTCGGATGCCCAAAACGCTCCAGGCACATGGCCCTGCGAACTTGAAGTTGTTTCAAGGAAGCTCTCGAAGCCAAACGAACCGAATTATGCCCAAACAGGTACCCTAGAAGATGCGGTGGAATGAAACCGAAAGTGGTCATGGTCCCAACTTGTGATGGGCGAATTGCAGCGGTGGCAGACTGAGGACCGGGCTTCTGCTCCTGTCGTTGAAGTCGTCTAACTCTATATATATATATACATATATATATATATACATATACATATATATACATATATATATATATATACATATATACATATATATATATATGTATATATATATATATATATATATTTACATCTATATGGGTTTAAGGCGGGCTCGAGAAAAAAGTGTGCAAGGCGGAGGCTTTTAAGACTCTTGTCAGATCCGGCGCTCAGCAACGAAGAGCTCTTCCTTAAGGGGACGAGTTACGAACCCTAAAAGGGGTTTAGGGTTTAGGGTTTAGGGTTTAGGGGGTTTATGGTTCATATACCTTAATAGGAATTATAGTAGTCAGGGTATATTGATCCCCAATTTTAGGGCTCACTTCGTCCCCAAGGTTAGTTCCGGGACTCGCCACCCTTGCCTTGCAAAGCTGCATGATGCGATCCCGAGACATCTTCACCTGCGCTGCTCATGTTCACCCGTTAGAGTCTCCCGCCCCCCGGTTTAGGGTTTAGGGTTTAGGGTTTAGGGTTTAGGGTTTAGGGTTTAGGGTTTAGGGTTTAGGGTTCTCATAAACCTATGGCTTCACCAAGCCAGGGCTGTGTTAAAGCAAGGGCAAACTCGTTGGAGATTTAGAGGGTCCTTTGGTTTGGTTTGTGCCCCCAAAACAGAATGCACGCCCTAGCCCAGTTGAAGTGCCTACAATGGCCGCATGAAATCTCCCGACAAGCGAAAGCCAAGTGCGGGCTCTACAAGCCTCAGCGCCCATGAACACCCAAACGGAGCACACGCCTCAGCGCCCGAGCAGGTTGATGGGAGGGTTTAGGGTTTAGGCGGGGTTACATAGGGCTCAGGGTTTAGGGTTAAGTGGAAAAAATGTGGTTGATAGGGATTTGTGACACCTGGTTTGGGGATGCTAGGGGGTTTTGGCGGGCACTGGGACTTCTCCAGTTTTCCTCACCCAACAGACTCCCAACATGCTTTCTAATATCTCTAATTCTTGTATAAATATCACTTTAATATAACTACTGTTATGGTTGTTTTAGAATTAGTATTAGTGCTGGCCATGCGACTCAGCAAGCCAATCAGCCCGAGAGCCCTCGAAGCTGAGCAATATTGAGAATCCAACAAGCAAATCTAGAAGCAGGGTTTAGGGTTTAGGGTCTAGGGTTTTTTTCGCTCCCGCATAGCTGGCCGAACCGCAGGCAGGGTTCGGGGGGCTTAAGCTTAGCCATGTCCACGCGCAGGTCATGGGCTGAGTGGCGGACTGTCCGGAAGCGGGAAGACCTGGTCAAGCGATCTGTACTGCAACCCTATAACCTAAACCCTAAACCCTAAACCAAAAACCCTACACCCTAAACCGCTGTTTGCAGCAAAGCACGTGAAACGTTTAGCAGCTCAGGCGGTCAGGGCGTAATATAGGGGCCTGAATAATGTTGTATCCTGATTAGTGTGCTCCCCCGGAATTGTGGAAAAAAATCCAAAAATTATTCAGGTGGATCTATTTGAGGAGGACCCCCGGAATTGTGAGAAAAAAAAGCCGGGCGATGCAAAATTTCGGCGAGGCTGTCGAATGGTGTTGTCGTCCGGAAATCGCTTCTGAACTGAGCCTGAGGTTGTCAGGCCCTGAAATCTTCAGTCTCCTGGCCAGCCCCAAAACTAAGATTTCCTTATTAAATTCTTTTGTGCCGAGGCCGGGCAATCAAATTTCAAAGGGGGTAGTCCAGCAGCTGCCCGACTGCCGTATAATATAAAAAGTTTGCTCCCCCGGAATTATCTTTTTTTTGCGGGCTGGTTGGGTTTGGATCCAGAGGCCTAAGGGCTGAGGCCTCCTAAACCTTGAGGCCTGAGGTTGTCGGGCCCTGAAATCTTCAGTCTCCAGGCCAGCCCCAAAGCTAAGAGTTCCTTATAAAATGCTTTTGTACCGAGGCCAAGCAATCAAATTTCAAAGGGGGTAGTCCAGCAGCTGCCCGACTGCCGTATAATCTAAAAGTTTGCTCCCCCGGAATTATATTTTTTTTCTGCGGGCTGGCTTGGTTGGGACAGATGGATCCCCTTTAAATTCATATAAACTCATCCCTTTCAAAAATCAGGTGGATCCCTTTTAACATCATATAATCCCTTTTGAATTCATATAAACCCATCCCTCTTCAAATCTTAAGGATCCCGTTTAATTTCATACAGTCTCACCCCTTTTAAAATCATATGGATCCCTTTAAAATTCATACGAGCTCATCCCTTTTAAAATCATATGGATCCCTTTTAAAATCATATAAACTCATCCCTTTTAAAATCATATAAAGCCAGACCCCCCCCCCCCCACACTAAAGCGCGGGATCCATTCGTTGAGGGGGGGGGGGGGGGGGGGGCCACACTAATCAGCAGACAACATTACTAAGAATAGGGTTTTGGGGGCTATTCTAGTATAATTACAGAGGGACCATAAGGGAAGACTAATAGTAGTAATTCCGACCCCTATAGTATGCGCCTGGGTACTCATAAAGAGCAACTGTGTCCTGTAACATGCGAGTCTTGAACTCCTACGAACTCCGGGTCAGAGCATACTTGATAACACGAGAAATGCACCAGTCATGTCCCACAACGTTTGGTATGCATGCAAGTTGATCTCCTGCCTTCGCGACGGCGAAGAAGAAAATATCATCTGAGGGGTACCGGAAGTACTCCTGATCTCAAACGACAGTGTTATATATCCAATTGAGGTATGAGGCAACTAGCACCGGACATGTCGGGGTATCTCAGGCGTTGTCGACATGAATATAGCATCCTCGAGCATGCAGCATGCGTACCATGCGTATTCCCATCCTTTGCATGAAAGTGGGATAGAGGCCAAGTCTTTGGGTAATGTTGCACTGCCTTTGATAGGTAGCGCCCCCCCCCCCCCCCAACGAAGGGCCTCAAGCCTTTAGGACCTTAAAGCCTGAACCTTTCCATCTAGCCTTCCCGGGGCTGAAAGAGGTTTCCTGCCTTAAAGGGCCGTGGCCTTCAAACCGGAAGCGTTTAGGGCATTCAGGCCTTAAAGGCCTGGAATGAAGAAAATCTCCCAAAACAACTTGTGATGAGAGCGAATACCCAAACAAACCTCCCAATGCGAGTCGGGCTTGCCCGTTGACTACCTATCCCAAAATGTGTTTGAGTCCTCCATGGAACTGGACGGGCTTAGCTGTCTGGATTCTCGCCCTCAGGGCTCGAAGCTCTACTGCGTAAGCCCTTAACCCCTAAACACAAACAGTTACAAGAAATCACAACCATCCGACAAAACAACGAAAAACTTGTGATGATAGCGGGTCGCAGGACAAATTTGCGAAACTGTGATTCTAGATCCTGCATAAACTAAAGCTGGTGCAACATCATTGTGGCTTGAAACGGAATTCAGGGTTCATGTAAGGCTCTCACAGGTCTTTGTTCTTCAGGCTTTTGATAGACTGGGCTTCTGGGACTGGAGTAGTCCTGTATCGGCTTGCATCCCATGATGCATTTTCGAATCTCCTGGCGAAAGCGAAGGAGAAGACCACGGTTTAGGGTTTAGGGTTTAGGGTTTAGGGTTTAGGGTTTAGGGTTTAGGGTTTAGGGAGACGAGCAAACCTTCTGGGATGACACCACGGTGCTTGTTTTTCCAAGTTCAGCTCCAGGACACACTGTTAGTAGAAGTTCTGAGCTCACGGTACTTTGGCTGTTGCTTCTGGTATTATTATGTAACATGGGTATTTCCCAAAAATGCCAAACACACCTCAACATACTGGAACCCTTTTTTGCCACTGGACTGAAGGCAAGCTGGAACCCTTATATACTACCGGAACTCGCAACAAGGCCACCCAAGATTTTCGACCTAAATAAAGCCGAGCTCTGCATTTTGCAAAACCCAAAACCCAAAACCCAAAACCCTGAACCCTAAACCCTAAACCCTAAACCCTAAGCCCCCAGCGCCAGGAGCACCTTTAGGTCGGAGCTGGAGAAGTGCAGGGGCACCCCGCTGAGGACCTCGTGAGGCTCATGGCCGTTGTTTTGAAATTGAGATTAGGGTTTCACTATTTAGTATAGGCTTCTTAAGGGTTCATGGGGGGTTGGTGTCTACACCTGAGGGAGCCTTAGGAAGCCTTAGGGAGAACCCTGCACACAAATCCGTGAGGGCTTGTGTATGGGTCTTAGGAGGGCGCAGGGTTTTAGGTGGAGCGCTTGGGATCTTGGCAGGAACGCTATGACTTACTGACTTGCTCTACGGGGCTCAGCAGAGAGTCTAGACCCAGAATTAACCTAGGAACCAACAGGGGGGATTATAAGGGAACCCCCCACCCTAAAGAAGGCAAGAAGGGCTTGCGCTGGGTCCCAGGAGTGCTGTATGATATGGCTTGGCAAGCAGGGCTCTGGGAAGAGTCTTGGGGTCGCGGCGTGGTTCTCTTTGACGGCCAAGTAGCGACCTCATCCATGAAGCAAGAGCTGTGAGCAGTGGCATCAAGTAAGGCAGTGATAGGGCATAGTTGACTGGGTTGAAGATCCCACCCGGGTTCTCCCCAATAGCAAACCCTACATAATTCGACCCCTATCTACGTAAGGCCCAGGCGTGCGCCTTTCAGATCCTTCTTCTCTTGCCAGTGTTTACCCCAAGCTTCGCCTGGCCGACGAGGCTGGGACCAAAACAAGGCCGGGAACAAAGGGAGGGTGTAGGGTTTAGGGTTTAGGGTTTAGGGTTTAGGGTTTAGGGTTTAGGGTTTAGGGTTTAGGGTTTAGGGTTTAGGGTTTAGGGTTTAGGGTTAAGCTTAAGGGTTTAGGGCTTCGGGCTTCTATTTTCGCTCCCGCATAGAGGGTTTGGGATTTCGGGTTTAGGGATTGGAGTTTAGGGCCGCAAGGCTGGGAAAAAGGAATTTCTGGATGGGTTAACGGCCGGTTGTGGCGTATACGGGCTTTTAAGGGCGCACCTCTTGCGGAGGGATGTCTAAACCCTGGCGGTAGACACTATACTATACCGGGGCAAGTACACGTCGTAAGTCAAAATTCCTCAAAACCGTGGCAGCCGATTTGACGCGCATTCAATAAAAGGTCTTTGGTTCCTGAGGGTCTGGAAGTCTGATCTTTCGTTTGTTGTGAGAAGTGTCAGTCGTGCAGGTGTGGACACCGAAGACATTTTGCACGACTCTGTGCTGGCCCCTCTCAGCCCTAAACATACTCACCCACAGACTTGGGTCACGAATCCCAGCTTCTAAGCCCTTACATATGCAGGCTTGTGCCCAGGACATCCACCCACAAATTCTAGACGGAGTTGGGTATTGACAACACAAGCAGCGAGCGTCAAAGGTGTCTGAGCCCCGGACGGCAAGACCTCGGACGCAATGAGCTGCAAAGGGTCTGGGGTTTAGCAGCTTAGGGCTCCCAGCGATAAATCGACCTGCATTCTTCAACCCCAAACCCGAAACGGAAACCAGCATCGACATCCTAAGCTCTACTCTTCCTTCTCGCTCGCTCGCTGTTTTGCTTTGCATGAATGCCGCCAAGTCAGAGCAGAGCGGGCTTATCTCAATGGGCAAAGATAAACTAGTCAGACAAACCTACTCGCCGGGCTGATGAACGCAAGTAAGAGGTTCAAGCGTTGCTGCGCGGTCAGCAACATGCCCCCTTGCGGCATCAACCAACTGCCATAGACCCATTGGCAACCCCCGGAGCAGGGAGAACCCAGCTGTGCGTCTTAGAGCGCCTCAGCCAGGACAGACCCACCTCCAAGAGCGCCTATGGCGGCGATATGCTGAGAATGCTCGCTCCCGCTCTCTGTCTCTCTTTCTCTTTTTCTCTCTCCCTCTCCCTCCCTCCATCCCTCCCTCCCTCTCTTTCCCCCGTGAACTTAGTGTGACCTGTCAGCACTGCTGGGCATGCCCTACTACGTACAATCCCTACCCTAAGCCTGCCAATGCTACGCTGCAGCCTAGCAGCCATAGAACCCTATGTCGCCCTGAGCACAAGCCACCATGAAAAACAGACTAAACCCTGCTAAGCCCTCGACCCGAAACTCTGCAAACCCAGCACCCCACTGGACGACCCCGGCGTCTTGTACTCGGAGGCGTTGAAGGGCGAGGGCGCGCCCCAGGGCTTCATCGCCTGGTCCTCCCGATATTTTTTGTTTCTGGGGAAGCTTTTTGGGGTTAGGGTGTTTCGACTCTCACAACTAGCGTGGTTAGAGGGTGCTTAGAGTGTTTTATGTTTAGTATAAGTTGGGGCTACTTAGATGCCATTTCGGCCTTAGGGCCTCTAGGCGGCTTTGGGGCTGAGGGTCGAGGAGGGTTATTGGAGCGGCGTGAAGGGCTTCCGGGAGTCGCTCCCATAGGAGTTAACAGCTCAAGGGCTTGAAGTTCTCCTGGAGGAATCATCGGGGTAGGACCCTGACAGATGCTATGGAACCCCAAACCCTAAATCCTGAACCCTAAACCCTAAACCCTAAACACATGTGGCACATAAACATATGGCACATGAACCCCTCGGCGAAGCATCGCGGTCCGCATCGTCGTAGGCCCAGTCCGCGTCCAGCACGCACTCCTTCTCTAAATGCAACCTCGGCTGCAGGCACGCAGCAGGCTCCAAAGTTTAGGGTTTGGGGTTCTTTTGCCACCCGTCTAGCCAGGCAACTGAAGAGGGATTGCTGTGCTTTAGGTTCAAGAGATTAGACTATAGGGTTTAATCATAAGGTTTCAGAAGAAGCAACGATGACCATAGGCCTTATATAAGCCAGGAACGGTACGGAAAACTCTGGAAACACCGCCACAGAATGCCACAGACCCCTCACTTCTGAAACATCACAAGCCGGGACGCCCCACTCCGAAATGCTCCAAACCCTACTTGGCAAAAGCCGGGGCCCGGGCAGATATGTTCGGAGCGCTTCGTCTCGAACTTCGCTGTCCTCCATGAGGCTTGGAGAGTTTTACTTCGGGCGTGGGTTGGGGGCACACTCGCAGCTCAACCTGAACCCTAAACCCTTTCGGGCAACGGACCCTCAACTCCACAATTTAATGGAGACTGACTGACTGACAACCACTCGGATGCGTCATGACGTTCGTGAACAAAGGAGTCGCATCAGCGGCCTAAGGTGGGGGGGGGGGTTTGTCCTAAACCCTATAAACCCTAAATCCCTAAACCCTAAACCCCTATAAACCCCAAACCCTAAACTCTAAACCCCAAACCCTAACCCCTAATTAAGCCCTATCTGCAACTGCAGCCCATGAGTGAAGACTTCGCGCTGAGGGATTGGGAGGGTAGAGGGCTTAGGAGGCAATGGGGCCGCCACGCTCCGAAAGCACAGCTGAAGGTTACGTTGCTTACACCCTAAACCCTATAAACCCTATAAACCCTATAAACCCTATAAACCCTATAAACCCTATAAACCCTATAAACCCTATAAACCCTATAAACCCTATAAACCCTATAAACCCTATAAACCCTATAAACCCTATAAACCCTATAAACCCTATAAACCCTATAAACCCTATAAACCCTATAAACCCTATAAACCCTAAACATCCGTAAACAGCTCCAAAATCTCATCTGCAACAAGTCTCCTCGTAAGCGCTCTCGAAGCCGATGCGCATTCGGATCATCCGGATCTCAGGTGGCAGAGCCGAGTGAACGATACAGCAAGACACCGTAAGCAGAGGATCCCCAGACTCTCTGTTGCAAATATGCCATATGGGTGTTTCCCAAGTTGGGTCACCGCGTTTATACCACCAATAGTATAGAATCCCCTGGCAAAAAGGGTACCCCGATTTTCGGAAGGGTTTCGGCTTGGGTTTTACGCCGGATGTCTGGTACCTGGGCCACCGGCGCTCTCTTTTAACTCGTTCTCGATGTTCTTTTCCAGCGTGTCGGCTGTGAAGCTCGACACTTTCGGACCTCGTGCGGGTTTGCCTTCCACTCCGATGGTCCCACGTGGCTGCTAGTCTAGGGTTTAGGGTTTAGGGCTATTTTTTGCCACCCGGCTTAAGGTTTAGGGCATCGGGTAGCAAGGGAGCCTCCCAACCCCATGACAATCCCCAGGACAACCACATGTGAAGCCTTCGGTCTAGGCGCTCGCAAAAGCCTATGAGCCTATGAGCCCCTTGTCGCCGCCTGTTCTCGCTGAGGCTGGGGCCTACAGGAATTGCGACTTCCTGGTGAGCAGGGAAAAGACCAGACTACCCTAGCAAAACTTAGAATTTCAGCTGTTTCTTAGGAAAGATAGTGCCCAAAAGGTTAACTTCAAGATGGCATGGACTGGTGAGTTTTAGGGGCCTGGGGCTTGTTGCGTGTGGTGTCTGCAGTTTCAACCTGAGGCCCAAGGAAGCCGGGTGCTGCAGAAGCGTGATTGCCGATGTTTCTTGCATACCGGGTCTTCTTTAATCATATTTGTGCCATCAACGCTCAACTTCTTAGCATATGAATGCATATGGCATATGAGCTCCAGAAATCGCTGGGCTTCCGGATACCTTTCAGGGAGTTGAAGAAGTGTGGGGTTTAAAAAGCCAATCCTACAGTATGCATTCCGGTCAACCCCAAACGGCACATTTTTGTCGGACGTCCTTGCCCAAGTACATCTGCTGCTTCAGATCGGCCCCAGCAAGGCTGTGCCAGCAATTGCGGTCCTTGACGTGGGTGGAGGCCAGCTCGGGGCGTGAGATGTCATACCCAAATTCCCCTGATAACTGCTACTTCCCACCCCCCCAACCCCCCAAAAAACTTGAGGATGTCCTACAAGATACTTGACTTTTACTGGGTGCTTTAAATTTATCTCCAAGGCAGCCCCATTGAAGAGATGCAATAGTGCAGGGCAAGGAGCGATTTCCATGTCGTAGTAGATGCACGCCTTGACAACATGAGCGCGCCGGAGCATTCTGTGAAGTTTGGGCCCCTTGATTGTTGCAGGATGTGGCCAGCATATTGCTCCAAGCTGCCGGATGATGATTCAGCAGGTTCCCATACACATCATAGCCATTGAAGATGACCTTGTCAGGACATGCGCGGGGTTCGTCTTGCAGCATGAAGGGCCGTGGAGCATCAGCACATGCCTTCACCCGGGCCACAAATTCAGGGGCCACTCCCCAACCCTGTGCTATCCGAATGGCCATTTGTTCTGCGGACTCCTTGCATTCCTTTAAGCTGTCACTTTGGCATCGGAGTGGCCTCGATGCTTTGGTACGGCACCGCCGTAAGCCTCAGCTCTATGCTCGGAATCTCGGACGAATGACACGCTAGGCTCGGGTTTAGGGTTTAGGGTTTATTTAGGGTTTAGGGTTTAGGGTTTAGGGTTTGGGGTTTGGGGTTTAGGGTTTAGGGGTTTCGTGCTAAGTTGGGAGGTAACACTGTTTCCTTCCGCAAATCCCGAGGGGCCTTTTTCAGGGAAATGTGCAGGTACCTAACTTGTCAGTTAGTTCCCTACAGACCCTAACCTTTAAACCCCCAACCCTAAACCCTGAACCCTAAACCCTAAACCCTGCAACAATGCCTAGCACTTCCTAGACCCCTAAACCCCTAAACCCTAAACCCCCAAACCCCTAAAACCCTAACCCTAAACCCTGAACCCTAAATCCTGCAACAAGCCCTAGCACTTCCTAGACCCCTAAACCCCTAAACCCCTAAACCCCTAAACCCTAAACCCCTAAACCCCTAAACCCCTAAACCCCTAAACCCCTAACCCTAAACCCTAAACCCTAAACCCTAAACCCTAAACCCTAAACCCTAAACCCAAACCCTAAACTCCCTAAACCCTAAACCCTAGAGGCCCTAAACCCCCCAAATCGCAGCCCAGGGGCATGTCTGCCTTGTACAGCTCTGGCCATGGTGAGATGGGAAGCCTGCTGTGGAAACTGGGCTCAGGGTGTGGGGCTTAGGGTTTATAGAGCCTAAACCCTAAACCCTTTTAACCCTAAACCCTAAACCGAAACCCTAAACCCTAAACCCTGAACCCTAGACCCGAAGCCGAAGCCCGACGGAGCGCAGATAAGAATGAATATGGGTTTTGTAGGCTCATTGAACTTAAAGTATTCCAGGGTCTATCGGGGTCCGAAACCGTATACGTAGTCTATAGATACAAATGAATGTTCTGCAGGCCCAGTTAACTTAAGGCATTCCGAGGTCTATTGTGATGAGGACTTTGTTGGAATCTGTTCAATGTCAGTGAACTCCTGTGTTCCGTGCGCAGACACCCTCGAAACAAGTAACTTTAAGTGATTTTTCATGTCCACCCGCCTTCATGTCAAGGCATCACAACCCTTTTGCGCCAGGACTCACTCAAGGGCATCTTAACCCCATAAACCCTAAACACTTGTACACCCTAAACTGCCCTTGAAACTTCACACGCCCCATACAGACCCTAGAATGTCGGAAAGTCAACGCAGCCGCCTGTACAGTTGATCCATGCCAGCCAGGTGCTGCTGCCTGCACCAAGCAATGTCAGCTCAGGGGTCACGCCTTTCATGTTGAAGGTCTTGGGAGCCTGTACGTACTTAGGGGCCTGAAGTAAGGGCATTCCTTCGGGGAAGCAAAGGAACCCCACAATTCGGATCCCGTACCGTGATTAGGGTTCAGGGGGATCATTTTGTCGAGGCGGGAGCTAGATCAGGTCTGGAAGAAGATTTCGTTAGCAACTCTTCTGGTGCTTGTCAGGGATGGCAGGTGTGGTTGGGTGATGCGGCCGTTCATGAGCTTAGAGTCAGAAAAAGACACCGGAGTGCATGCATGGGCTATCGGCCCTTATAATCCCCAACCCCATAAAGGGCCTTTTTAAGGGGTTATAGGGTATAATAGCCCATGTAGGTACATGCATCTCCCAGATATCGACCTCACATCTCACCTTGTGTAGAAACATGTATATCGTGGAGGGACAGATGCTTCATGCAACAGCACTGCTTCTGCCCCCGAGGCCTGCTGAAGTTTGCCCTCTCCTGGAACACGCGTATCTCAGCTCAGAGTCTCCGGCCTCTACTTCCCTACCCTTGCTACGTCTCACACAGCTATTGCCACGGTACTGCTGCCTCCTTTTTAGACTCTATCTCTGGGGCTACAGAAGGAGGGAGGAGCTTCGTCCTGCAAGGAAGCCTCCCCTTTCCAGTCGGCCGTCGCCTGGCCGCGGGACACTCACAAGATGGCCCAGATGTGCTCGCAGCCCATCTTGGGAAGGTGGCTTCAGGAGGCCCTTGTGTCGCAAACCCTCAGATCCGCAACCCTAGAGCCCCTGAACGCTGAACCCCTAGACAGGCTGAAACAACCCTAAGACCCCTCTGACCCAGAACTCCTGCTTTTGCTCATAAAGCAGCACCATTCCCCTTTAGACCAGCCTGGCGCTCCTTGAAACGCTTGTCCACCTGCTCGGCTGCTTGGTATGCTAAGGAAACTCAAACTAAGTTCCCATCGCAGGAAAAAAGGGAACCCAAACTGAGTTCCCATAGCAAGGAAAAGGAAACTCAAACTAAGCTCCCATAGCAAGAGAAAAAAAGAGCTGGTTGAAAGTTGGGCACGTGGGAAATTGCTAGCAGGGCCTCGCGAACCCGAAACCTTTAACTTCAAGGCACTCTCGGCCTTACAGGTATTCACCTAGCACAGTGAGGGGAGGGTTTAGGGTGTAGGGTGTAGGGTTGAGGGTTGGGGGTTTGGCCTTACAGCTACTCACCTACCAGTACAATGAAAGGAGGAGACATCCGACTGCCTTCTTGGAGCATAGCTCCTCAGACTAAACGCCGCTCTCTAGACAACGTCCTAAATAAACAAACCCTAGCAACCCTAAATTTAAACCCTAAATTTTAACCCCATTCAAACCCGAAACCCATTTTCAAAAAAGAACTAAACCCACCTTAAGTTGACCCCCTAAACCCTTGCCAGGGGTCAGCCTTTGAAGAGGCAACAATCAACCCTGAGCGTCAAAGGGAAGGAAAGACCAGAGCCTCCCACCTTAGATCCTGGCTTGCACCACTGCCATCTAACAACTGAGACAGGCCTTGTCCTCGTAACTTTCAGAAGCCACTGTCACTGCAAGCGGAATCTGTAGTCGCTGCAGTCAGCTCGCTTTGCGAGGACTCATCGTCAGAATTCCCATCCTTCGATTTCCAGATATGAAACATGGCACAGCATCCAGTCAAACTGGCGCCAGGCTCGCCTACTGTGCTGTCGGATCGCATCGCGCAACGCCGCAAGATTCGACCAACTTGCCGAGAACGTTCGTTGCCATCAACCCATTCTGCAAAGAAGCCAGAATCGGCACTGAAGACCAGTTCCTGTATTTTCCAATTGAAAGCATCCAAATCCGCGATCTTGGAGATGATCATGTCCTTGTCAGGTTGTGATGAAGCCGAGCACATCCTTACATCAAGCAGCGTCAGTCTGTCATAGTTGAGGTCCACCGTCTCTTGCGAAGAAACTTGTATCCGGGCCGGCATACCCAAAATGCTGGCCTCAAATATCTCTGCAAGACACCATGCCCGGTACAGCACGTCAAAGTCGTCATCCACGACAATGAGTTGAGTGAAGCACGCAACCTCCTGTGCTAAGTACGCCATCATGTCATCGAACTTGTTGAGCTCACACCTTGGGTCGGTGTGACTAAGAACTTTCTGTACTGCGCAGTCGCACAAGGAGAACATCTCGCCAGTGACCGAATCATAACGCTTCCTGGCCCAGGCATTCCATGCAGTCGTTCCCTGGAGCGGTTCCGGCCCGAACCCGGCGCAAATACTGGCATGCTGGTTGACGGAAAACGCGCACAGCCAGTAGGTGGTATCCAGCTTGCAGCCCAACTTGACTCGGACCTGCTCGATGCCCTCGGGGGTGGCGATTTGTTTTGCGACATCCTGGTAGGCTTTGTACCCCAACGCATCCGCCAGTATAGCAGCAGCTAGGCTTCCAAAGCTGTTCGTCCAGTTGTGTGACACCATAACTTGCGGCTTCCTAGGCTGGCCCATTAACATCTTCTAAACCTCTGCGTATCGCATTCCTGTATAATAAACGATCCACTTTAACTCAAGCAGTCCAGTCATGAAGTACCCTAAACCCTAAACCCTAAACCCCAAACCCTAAACCCTAAACCCTAAACCCTATACCTCCCAGGTCCTGCCAAGCCTCAGATTGGTGGACCAAATTTCTGCAAGGGCACACCCGCCATCCCCCAGTCGGGAGGCTGGGATAACCTTGGGGACCAACTATGAACCCTGAAAGGGTTTAGGCTTCGGGTTTAGCATTTCGGGTTTATGGTTCATATACCTGAATAGGGGTTACAGTAGAAAAGGGTATACGACCCCCCCCCCCCCAAATGTAGGGGTTCCTGTGGTCCCAGGAACGGCCCGGCGAACCACGTCGTTCGTCGCAGAACGTCGCAAATCAAACCCCGGCATCAGCTCATCTCTCAGGAGCCTTTCCCAGAAGCAGAGAAGGGAGCTAAGTTGAAAGCCACGGCCTGCCAACTGCTTGACAACATCCTGGTAGACTTCCTTCCCACTCTCGTCCAACAAACATGACATAGAGACCAACCCTCGCGCGAGCCTGCGCGAACCCACCTCCATATCGTCCTCCGGAGGCTGTCCTTGCCAGAGAATGCCAGAGAGAACACCCAGCCCCAGTGAATTGATGACCCAGTCCAAGCGCAGGACAATGCTCTCCCATTCAAGGAGTGCTGCCAATCTTGTCACTTCTGCATGAGAGAGCTGGGGACCTTGACTGTTTAGCCTCACCAAGGTCACTAGGCCGTAGAGAAGCCCGGTGCAGCACGTTGTCAGCCCCAGCGTTGCGCAGACCAGCAACTCCATGCTGAGTACCTTGGGGACGAAATGAACCCTAAAATTGAGGCCTCTTACCCTATACTGCTAGAATTCCTATTAAGGTATATGAACCCTAAACCCTTTTAGGGTCAATTTCGTCCCCAAGGTACTTGCGCGGCCCATCTTGCGAGCTTCCGTGGATGTCCACGAACACGCTTGGCTTCTGAAATCAGCAAAGTAAGTTTCAGCACCAAGCTCTTGCATGTGAGGGTTGCGAATGCAGCCCAGATGGTGCACATCACCATGATGCTGACGAGAGTGGCCAGCAAGTCGTTTGTGTAACTTACGTACAAGCTGAAGCACATCACCAGTACCCACATGTAAGAACACTGCCGCGATCCGGAACGGATTCCTGCCATTCTCAACTGCAACATGTAGAGTGTCCAACCAAGCGTGACACAGTGCAAACCATTTGCAATTTTTAGGCCGATGACGAAGGCCTTGAACGAACCCTTTGTCCGACATATGTGTGAGACCTGGTTCATGACTGCTACCAGCCAGAACCCGCACAAGCACCACTTTGCATCATGCGCATAGCTGGAGCGGGGGTGCCTCTTCAGTGTGCAGCATATCCATATCGATGCAAGCAAAGCCAACGCCAGCGTCTGCTGAATGGGGAAGGAAGGCACCTCGCGCCCTCGCCAGTCGAAGCCAAATTGTTGAAAGCTCTGCGCTCGGCCGCCTGACATTGCACCCTCCTGTGCAGACAAAGCTGGAGCCAGCCAAACAAAGCAGGCAAGACACAGGGTGAGGATCGCGATCGCGATGCAAAACGCGATCCTGCACTTCAACGAGCAGTGCCGGCCCGCCGATGTGCCGGGGACATGTACCACCCCCATGGAGAGGCCGCAGAAGACTGCCATGCACGACGCCCAGCCATTAAAAAACAGTTGGACGAGGCTGACAGTGAGAACGAGAGCCAGACAAATCAAGTGCCATTTTAGCCGACCCGCCGAGGTCATCGCATACTCCCATGCCGCAGAACCTTTCCAGAGATCTGACGCAGCTCCGTGGACCATTTGGCAAGCGGTAGGCCAACGATTGAGCCCGGAACCTGGATGCCCTCGAACCTGACCAGCCCTAACCCTAAAACCCTGAACCTTCGAGCCTATAAACCCTAAACCCTAAATCCTAAACCCTAAATCCTAAAGCCGAACCTCCTGACCCTAAACTTCCTTCCGTCCCGAAACCCGAAGCCCCAAACCCTGCAGGCCCAAACCCCGGAGCTTCGTTCTTTCTAAGGGTAGTTCCATGAACCTTAATATGGTCCCGACCCTTTAGACCCTCCTTCCCCCCCCCCCCCGCTAAGGGTAGGGTTTCCCCCAATCTCCTATGCGGGGTTCTGATGTATGGGCCTTTAATATAGGGTATATACGGGGTGTGTAAGGGGTACTCTTTTCAGGGCCCATACGAAGGGACCATGTAACTACCCTAAGAGCTCTGCACTCGATAAGGGCTAGTAGGGTTGGGGGATGGTTGCCCTGGGCATATTTGTTTTTTGCTTTTGCCTCCCCGTTTCGGGTTCTCTTATCGGCACCGATCACAAGCATAGCCCGCCCTGTCGTTTTCACAAGGTTCTTCATTGCGTGTCAGGTACACAACCCAAAACCCTAAACCCCAAACCCAACGGAGTACCGGCACACCCCAAAGGACACCTGTATGCAATCACCATTTCACAGCTGGAATCTTCATGTTATACTCGCCTCTGGGATGCACTGGTCGCCGGTGTGACCCAGCCTCTCACCGCCGGAATCCCTTAAACCCTTACCCTAAGTCCGTGTACCTGTATGGGGAATACTTGGGCCTTAACAGCACTGTAGTGGTAGGCTCTTCATGAAGGAGTGCGTTCATACTTTGGGTTCTACGCATGGTGTTTGGGGCCCAAGCATACAAAAACGAGGTACATAGACCCTTATAGGGCCAAGCATCTTAGAAGCACCCTCCTACTACCACGACTACCACTACTACCACTACTACCACGACTACTACGACTACCACGACTACCACGACTACCACGACTACCACTACCACTACTACCACTACCACCACTACCACCACTACCACCACTACCACCACTACGGTGGATGGACAAAATCCTGCATGACCCCCTACGTTACACGTGTGCGACGGTTGGTAATCGAGCTCCCCGCACCCCTCAAATTTCAATGTTGCGTGCACATGTGGATGATGCAGGATTTCGGTCATTCGCGCATGTGCCGTTTCGAGGCATTGTAAGGACAACAATGTTAAGATTCAGGGTTTGGAAGGGATGACCTGCGTAATAAAAGTCATGCAGGATTTCGTCCATCAACAGTACGAGTAGTTGTCGTTGCTCTGCCGTTCTATATGACTGGGCTGTTGGGGGCCAATAGTCAAGAGATTCAGCGCCAACCAGCGGAACAACATACGTTTTCCTGAGATAAGTTGGCGTGCGACCAGCTTGCAGCTCTTCAGAGCAAGCATGCCTGGCCTTCGATCTGGTCATAAGCAAATTGAATTCAGTCATTAGCGTAAACTAGGCAGTTACAGATCATCATCCTCAATGGGGAGTCCCGGCGCCGGCTCTGCAGCGACACCCCTCGACAGCCTGGACGCATACGCCGCAGAGCCCTGCACGATAAACCTGCACCAACTTGCGGCGCAGTGAGGTATTGGCTGCAAGGGCCCAGCCACAGCGACATGCGCATCAAATTGGATAACCCGTGACTGCATGTGCTTGACATCCTCGCGCGTCACAGGTTGCGTGACTTCCCAGAGACCATCCAGTGGGGCAGTCAAGGCCGCTCCACGGGTCCATCGGAAGTCAGGATTGCCGTCATGGTGAGCCTGGGAGACTTGAACCCGCAACACCTGACCAGCAAAAAGCTTCTTGAAGGTGACTGCAGACACTGTGGGCGAGCGTGGAGGCCGCGACGCGAACTCTGTTGGGCTGAACTCGTCCCAATAAATGAAGCGCACGCCCTTGCTAGTTGCTAAGGAGCTCAGCGCCATACTGGCACCTTGCGCCGGACAGAAGTCCACAGCCTTGCGACCAAAGACGTTGACCAGAGGGTCCAGCACCAAGCTCTTGCCGGCATTGGTGACCCCTGCTATAAGGGGCACCCGGCGAGTCTTGCTTGGGCCGTGGCATATGACCTGAGCCAAGGCAGCAGCCAATAGCTCCCCATCCACTGTCGCCTGATTCCTGCGAAAGAAATCGGACATTGCCATCCACCACAAGCACGGTCCAGAGCAAGCGCAGCTAGTACCTGCCAGACGCTGTAGCAGGTCCCAGTCTGTCTCTTGCTCTACAGCATGCAGCTTCTTCGCGTCCCGCCACTGCAGCGCGCCCTCAATGAGGTCAGGGAGGCGCTTCTGATTTCGCATGCAGTAGAGCTGGCACGCGTGCGACCCATGGTCCTGCACATACGCGAGGACGGCGTTGGGCGTCAAGAGGTTCTTCTCGAGGACCATGGCAGTGAAGTCTAGAGGGGTGAACTTCTCCACCTTGGCCTTCTTCTTGTTACCTGGACCAGGGGCGCTGGCCAGGACCTCTGCCTTCTGGCGCCGCTTCACCCAAGCGCTGGCATTGAAGGGCTCTTGCGCCTCCTCATAAAGGTTCAGGACGATGTTGCTGCTGCCTGGCACTACGTACTCATGGCATGGCCCATGGCCAACTTGCACGCCCTCCAGTGCACCTGCTGCCTTCAGCCAGACCAAGGGAGTGAGGTCAACGGCCTGCTTGTGGTCAGTCGTAAAGACGCCGTAGCGCACCACGCTCCACCATTGTGTGTGGGATGTGCTCCAGTGAGACGCTAGACCAGAACGGCGTCGCAGGGCCGCCTTCAACGGCAAGAAGCGGCTGAGGCAAGTCAGCTTGAGCGCCACATGGAAGTGTCTTGGCTCCTCCAAAAACACCACAAGCTTCACAGCCTCAAGCGCTTGCGTCCGAGGACGACCTCTGCCACGCCGGTTGGTGTCCTCAGCAGGATGCTGCACCGCGTCGAGCACTGCGTCCCGAATGTCTGCACGCTCCAGCCCTTCCAGGCTCTTCAGCGGTGTCTCTGCCTGCAGGGCTGTTGCTTCAAGCACAGCTGCAAACGTCACCAAGTACACCATACTGCGAGCATTGTCATCTTCCTCCGTCAACCACTCTGGTCTTGCAGGCGGCGGCTCAACTGCTGCCTCGTCCTCAGAGGACGACGAGCTCGAGTCCGAGGCTGCCATGGCACCGGTGGGCTCAGGCTGGAGCAGAACGGCCGAACTGCAGACAGGCATTGTCAAGCACTGGGGTCCTTGGACCTCACTTTGGAGACTGCAAGCTCTCGCAACCTCTGGAGTCTGTGTGAGGGCCCTGTATGAAGGGGCCAGGACGGGTGCAGAAATGTCGTGTTTTTCAAGTTTCAAATTCGTTTCCATAGTTTCAAATTAGTTTCAAATTAGTTTCAAAATCCAGTTGCAAATTCGCTGTTAAGGGGGAACTGCAATTTCAGCGCGCGTTTTTTGAAAAAGAGGAATCTCTGAGAATTCCTAATTTTTTAGAAACGCGCGTAGAAAAATGTAATTCCCCATTAACAGCGATTTTGCAACTGGATTTTGAAACTATTTTGAAACTAATTTGAAAGTATGGAAATGAATTTGAAACTTGAAAAACGCAGCATTTTCTGCTTCGACTGAATTTGAAACTTGGAAAACGCTGCATTTCTGCTTCTGGCGCAAGCTGACTTAGTGGAGCAACCAGCCAATGCAGTCGAGCAGCCAGCCAACTCAACGCACCCTCCACGCCCCTCTCCCTAGGCATGAGGCCTGCTGCTACCGAACGCATGCAGCACGGCGCTCTACTGCTGGGCCGATTTTCACGCGCACTGTCTTCAAATGCTTTCAAATGGTGAAGGTGAAAGGACCGCGTGAGAACAGCCTCATCATGGGTCAGAACCGCCCTCCTCGAAGAAGTAGCCCTTCGCCTCGTAAAGCCTCTGGCAGCGCCGAGCCATGTCGCCAATGCTGTTGAGGATGAAATCCTTGGGCAAGGAGCGGGCCGTGAGCTTCAAGCGCTTGATGTAGGCAGCCCGCGTTTCTTTCTTACCCTTTGTCCACTTGCTCTCTTGCCGGCGCAGCCGCTTGTTGATCTCGGTCCAGATGGCATAATCCAACACCGACAAGTCAGGGCTGCGCTTTGGGATCTCGAAGACAAGTAAACCTGCGTCGCACTTGGCAGCAATGCCCTTGGCCGACTTGTACCCAGTAGGGTCGTTGTCCTCCAAGATCGTGAAGCGGCGTTTGGCGGGCGAAGCTTTCTTCAAGTCACGCGCCAAAGTGTGGTAGAAGCTGGCGGCAGCCTGGCCACTCCAGCGGCCATCGGTGACCTCGTGCACGGTGACAGCCTTACCTTTCCCGACGCCCACCTGCAGGAGAACCCCTTTGGCCCCGGTGTTGTGACGCAAGTTGCCAGCCTTTGGCTTCACATACCCACCACATAAGCCCTTGCCAGGGCGGCGATAGGCGCCGTATGTGGCATGCTGCGCTGCCCGGCAGCGCTCCTTCCCATTCAGGTAGACCTGGAAGTGCTTTCCATCAATGAAGGCATCAACGTTCTTGACCCACCAGGCCCTGCTCTTGCTGCGATACTTCTTGGCGAAGTGAAAGCGTGCTCGGACATCCTCGGGGGTGAGCAGAGGCTTTTCCCGCAGCTTGCGGAAGTAGATGTTGCGATCGTGCAGAGCCCTGAGAATGCTGCGGCACGAAGCCTTGGTCTTTGTTGTCTTCTTCAGGTCCTGGACGGTAACAGTGCGCTGCCCATTGGCCTTCACGATCATGTCGTCCAGCTTCTTCTCGAGGAAGTCGACTTGCGCCATGGTTAGAGAGCAAGGGCGGCCTTGCTTCAAGACAGGCTTCTGAAGACAGAGCAAGCGGGTCACTGATGACGTGTCCCTTCCGAGCAACTCGCCGATCTCTGACGGCTTCTTGCCCTGAGAGTACCACTTCTTGGCCAGGCCGCGTTCATTCTCGGACATCTTGGTCCAACCAGCCTCCGGCATGGCGACGCTGACAGACACTGAAGGTCAAGCTGCGAGACGAGAGCTAGAAGCTGCGGCGCGCGCAGCCATGCAGCCAACAAGTCAGCGCGTGATCTGCCATTTTGCCCTTTCCCCCGCACATGGAACATGCGCACAGCGTACGTAGCACAGCTGACTGCATGTACATGTTGCTGTCAAGACAGAGCACTGGAATTCCTGCACGCACATGCTGCTGACAAGACACCAGTTTGCCCTTTCCCCCGCACATGGAACATGCGCACAGCGTACGTAAGCTGACTGCATGTACATGTTGCTGTCAAGACAGAGCACTGGAATTCCTGCACGCACATGCTGCTGACAAGACATCTGCCAGTTTGCCCTTTCCCCCGAACATGGAACATGCGCACAGCGTACGTAGCACAGCTGACTGCATGTACATGTTGCTGTCAAGACAGAGCACTGGAATTCCTGCACGCACATGCTGCTGACAAGACACCAGTTTGCCCTTTCCCCCGAACATGGAACATGCGCACAGCGTACGTAGCACAGCTGACTGCATGTACATGTTGCTGTCAAGACAGAGCACTGCAATTCCTGCACGCACATGCTGCTGACAAGACACCAGTTTGCCCTTTCCCCCGAACATGGAACATGCGCACAGCGTACGTAGCACAGCTGACTGCATGTACATGTTGCTGTCAAGACAGAGCACTGCAATTCCTGCACGCACATGCTGCTGACAAGACACCAGTTTGCCCTTTCCCCCGAACATGGAACATGCGCACATTCCTGCACGCACATGCTGCTGACAAGACACCAGTTTGCCCTTTCCCCCGAACATGGAACATGCGCACAGCGTACGTAGCGCAGCTGACTGCATGTACATGTTGCTGTCAAGACAGAGCACTGCAATTCCTGCACGCACATGCTGCTGACAAGACATAGCGCAGCAACTTCACAACTCTCCAAACACGTCTAACACAGCAGCTCACTCCCAAGACATGTTCTGTACAGCTCGCACTAGTAGTGTTGTGAGTCGTTAGGGAAAACACTCGGAAACACGCCTTCGATGTTTTCCACGCGACGAGAGGTCGAGCTAGCAAACACCCTCCCTAGTAGTGTAGTGTCCTCAGGGAAAACACTGTAGCATTCCGAGACGGAGAAGGAAACACACCGTCGATGTTTTCCTAGCGACTCGAGATCGAGCTAGCCGTCACTGTCCTAACCTAACACGCCTCGCTTCTCATGATTGAAACTCCGGCCAAGGCGGCCACGCAGCCACAAGTCAGCAAATTATCTTGTCTGAGACGGTACGAGTAGTTGTCGTTGCTCTGCCGTTCTATATGACTGGGCTGTTGGGGGCCAATAGTCAAGAGATTCAGCGCCAACCAGCGGAACAACATACGTTTTCCTGAGATAAGTTGGCGTGCGACCAGCTTGCAGCTCTTCAGAGCAAGCATGCCTGGCCTTCGATCTGGTCATAAGCAAATTGAATTCAGTCATTAGCGTAAACTAGGCAGTTACAGATCATCATCCTCAATGGGGAGTCCCGGCGCCGGCTCTGCAGCGACACCCCTCGACAGCCTGGACGCATACGCCGCAGAGCCCTGCACGATAAACCTGCACCAACTTGCGGCGCAGTGAGGTATTGGCTGCAAGGGCCCAGCCACAGCGACATGCGCATCAAATTGGATAACCCGTGACTGCATGTGCTTGACATCCTCGCGCGTCACAGGTTGCGTGACTTCCCAGAGACCATCCAGTGGGGCAGTCAAGGCCGCTCCACGGGTCCATCGGAAGTCAGGATTGCCGTCATGGTGAGCCTGGGAGACTTGAACCCGCAACACCTGACCAGCAAAAAGCTTCTTGAAGGTGACTGCAGACACTGTGGGCGAGCGTGGAGGCCGCGACGCGAACTCTGTTGGGCTGAACTCGTCCCAATAAATGAAGCGCACGCCCTTGCTAGTTGCTAAGGAGCTCAGCGCCATACTGGCACCTTGCGCCGGACAGAAGTCCACAGCCTTGCGACCAAAGACGTTGACCAGAGGGTCCAGCACCAAGCTCTTGCCGGCATTGGTGACCCCTGCTATAAGGGGCACCCGGCGAGTCTTGCTTGGGCCGTGGCATATGACCTGAGCCAAGGCAGCAGCCAATAGCTCCCCATCCACTGTCGCCTGATTCCTGCGAAAGAAATCGGACATTGCCATCCACCACAAGCACGGTCCAGAGCAAGCGCAGCTAGTACCTGCCAGACGCTGTAGCAGGTCCCAGTCTGTCTCTTGCTCTACAGCATGCAGCTTCTTCGCGTCCCGCCACTGCAGCGCGCCCTCAATGAGGTCAGGGAGGCGCTTCTGATTTCGCATGCAGTAGAGCTGGCACGCGTGCGACCCATGGTCCTGCACATACGCGAGGACGGCGTTGGGCGTCAAGAGGTTCTTCTCGAGGACCATGGCAGTGAAGTCTAGAGGGGTGAACTTCTCCACCTTGGCCTTCTTCTTGTTACCTGGACCAGGGGCGCTGGCCAGGACCTCTGCCTTCTGGCGCCGCTTCACCCAAGCGCTGGCATTGAAGGGCTCTTGCGCCTCCTCATAAAGGTTCAGGACGATGTTGCTGCTGCCTGGCACTACGTACTCATGGCATGGCCCATGGCCAACTTGCACGCCCTCCAGTGCACCTGCTGCCTTCAGCCAGACCAAGGGAGTGAGGTCAACGGCCTGCTTGTGGTCAGTCGTAAAGACGCCGTAGCGCACCACGCTCCACCATTGTGTGTGGGATGTGCTCCAGTGAGACGCTAGACCAGAACGGCGTCGCAGGGCCGCCTTCAACGGCAAGAAGCGGCTGAGGCAAGTCAGCTTGAGCGCCACATGGAAGTGTCTTGGCTCCTCCAAAAACACCACAAGCTTCACAGCCTCAAGCGCTTGCGTCCGAGGACGACCTCTGCCACGCCGGTTGGTGTCCTCAGCAGGATGCTGCACCGCGTCGAGCACTGCGTCCCGAATGTCTGCACGCTCCAGCCCTTCCAGGCTCTTCAGCGGTGTCTCTGCCTGCAGGGCTGTTGCTTCAAGCACAGCTGCAAACGTCACCAAGTACACCATACTGCGAGCATTGTCATCTTCCTCCGTCAACCACTCTGGTCTTGCAGGCGGCGGCTCAACTGCTGCCTCGTCCTCAGAGGACGACGAGCTCGAGTCCGAGGCTGCCATGGCACCGGTGGGCTCAGGCTGGAGCAGAACGGCCGAACTGCAGACAGGCATTGTCAAGCACTGGGGTCCTTGGACCTCACTTTGGAGACTGCAAGCTCTCGCAACCTCTGGAGTCTGTGTGAGGGCCCTGTATGAAGGGGCCAGGACGGGTGCAGAAATGTCGTGTTTTTCAAGTTTCAAATTCGTTTCCATAGTTTCAAATTAGTTTCAAATTAGTTTCAAAATCCAGTTGCAAATTCGCTGTTAAGGGGGAACTGCAATTTCAGCGCGCGTTTTTTGAAAAAGAGGAATCTCTGAGAATTCCTAATTTTTTAGAAACGCGCGTAGAAAAATGTAATTCCCCATTAACAGCGATTTTGCAACTGGATTTTGAAACTATTTTGAAACTAATTTGAAAGTATGGAAATGAATTTGAAACTTGAAAAACGCAGCATTTTCTGCTTCGACTGAATTTGAAACTTGGAAAACGCTGCATTTCTGCTTCTGGCGCAAGCTGACTTAGTGGAGCAACCAGCCAATGCAGTCGAGCAGCCAGCCAACTCAACGCACCCTCCACGCCCCTCTCCCTAGGCATGAGGCCTGCTGCTACCGAACGCATGCAGCACGGCGCTCTACTGCTGGGCCGATTTTCACGCGCACTGTCTTCAAATGCTTTCAAATGGTGAAGGTGAAAGGACCGCGTGAGAACAGCCTCATCATGGGTCAGAACCGCCCTCCTCGAAGAAGTAGCCCTTCGCCTCGTAAAGCCTCTGGCAGCGCCGAGCCATGTCGCCAATGCTGTTGAGGATGAAATCCTTGGGCAAGGAGCGGGCCGTGAGCTTCAAGCGCTTGATGTAGGCAGCCCGCGTTTCTTTCTTACCCTTTGTCCACTTGCTCTCTTGCCGGCGCAGCCGCTTGTTGATCTCGGTCCAGATGGCATAATCCAACACCGACAAGTCAGGGCTGCGCTTTGGGATCTCGAAGACAAGTAAACCTGCGTCGCACTTGGCAGCAATGCCCTTGGCCGACTTGTACCCAGTAGGGTCGTTGTCCTCCAAGATCGTGAAGCGGCGTTTGGCGGGCGAAGCTTTCTTCAAGTCACGCGCCAAAGTGTGGTAGAAGCTGGCGGCAGCCTGGCCACTCCAGCGGCCATCGGTGACCTCGTGCACGGTGACAGCCTTACCTTTCCCGACGCCCACCTGCAGGAGAACCCCTTTGGCCCCGGTGTTGTGACGCAAGTTGCCAGCCTTTGGCTTCACATACCCACCACATAAGCCCTTGCCAGGGCGGCGATAGGCGCCGTATGTGGCATGCTGCGCTGCCCGGCAGCGCTCCTTCCCATTCAGGTAGACCTGGAAGTGCTTTCCATCAATGAAGGCATCAACGTTCTTGACCCACCAGGCCCTGCTCTTGCTGCGATACTTCTTGGCGAAGTGAAAGCGTGCTCGGACATCCTCGGGGGTGAGCAGAGGCTTTTCCCGCAGCTTGCGGAAGTAGATGTTGCGATCGTGCAGAGCCCTGAGAATGCTGCGGCACGAAGCCTTGGTCTTTGTTGTCTTCTTCAGGTCCTGGACGGTAACAGTGCGCTGCCCATTGGCCTTCACGATCATGTCGTCCAGCTTCTTCTCGAGGAAGTCGACTTGCGCCATGGTTAGAGAGCAAGGGCGGCCTTGCTTCAAGACAGGCTTCTGAAGACAGAGCAAGCGGGTCACTGATGACGTGTCCCTTCCGAGCAACTCGCCGATCTCTGACGGCTTCTTGCCCTGAGAGTACCACTTCTTGGCCAGGCCGCGTTCATTCTCGGACATCTTGGTCCAACCAGCCTCCGGCATGGCGACGCTGACAGACACTGAAGGTCAAGCTGCGAGACGAGAGCTAGAAGCTGCGGCGCGCGCAGCCATGCAGCCAACAAGTCAGCGCGTGATCTGCCATTTTGCCCTTTCCCCCGCACATGGAACATGCGCACAGCGTACGTAGCACAGCTAACTGCATGTACATGTTGCTGTCAAGACAGAGCACTGGAATTCCTGCACGCACATGCTGCTGACAAGACATCTGCCAGTTTGCCCTTTCCCCCGCACATGGAACATGCGCACAGCGTACGTAAGCTGACTGCATGTACATGTTGCTGTCAAGACAGAGCACTGGAATTCCTGCACGCACATGCTGCTGACAAGACATCTGCCAGTTTGCCCTTTCCCCCGAACATGGAACATGCGCACAGCGTACGTAGCACAGCTGACTGCATGTACATGTTGCTGTCAAGACAGAGCACTGGAATTCCTGCACGCACATGCTGCTGACAAGACACCAGTTTGCCCTTTCCCCCGAACATGGAACATGCGCACAGCGTACGTAGCACAGCTGACTGCATGTACATGTTGCTGTCAAGACAGAGCACTGCAATTCCTGCACGCACATGCTGCTGACAAGACACCAGTTTGCCCTTTCCCCCGAACATGGAACATGCGCACAGCGTACGTAGCACAGCTGACTGCATGTACATGTTGCTGTCAAGACAGAGCACTGCAATTCCTGCACGCACATGCTGCTGACAAGACACCAGTTTGCCCTTTCCCCCGAACATGGAACATGCGCACATTCCTGCACGCACATGCTGCTGACAAGACACCAGTTTGCCCTTTCCCCCGAACATGGAACATGCGCACAGCGTACGTAGCGCAGCTGACTGCATGTACATGTTGCTGTCAAGACAGAGCACTGCAATTCCTGCACGCACATGCTGCTGACAAGACATAGCGCAGCAACTTCACAACTCTCCAAACACGTCTAACACAGCAGCTCACTCCCAAGACATGTTCTGTACAGCTCGCACTAGTAGTGTTGTGAGTCGTTAGGGAAAACACTCGGAAACACGCCTTCGATGTTTTCCACGCGACGAGAGGTCGAGCTAGCAAACACCCTCCCTAGTAGTGTAGTGTCCTCAGGGAAAACACTGTAGCATTCCGAGACGGAGAAGGAAACACACCGTCGATGTTTTCCTAGCGACTCGAGATCGAGCTAGCCGTCACTGTCCTAACCTAACACGCCTCGCTTCTCATGATTGAAACTCCGGCCAAGGCGGCCACGCAGCCACAAGTCAGCAAATTATCTTGTCTGAGACGGTACGAGTAGTTGTCGTTGCTCTGCCGTTCTATATGACTGGGCTGTTGGGGGCCAATAGTCAAGAGATTCAGCGCCAACCAGCGGAACAACATACGTTTTCCTGAGATAAGTTGGCGTGCGACCAGCTTGCAGCTCTTCAGAGCAAGCATGCCTGGCCTTCGATCTGGTCATAAGCAAATTGAATTCAGTCATTAGCGTAAACTAGGCAGTTACAGATCATCATCCTCAATGGGGAGTCCCGGCGCCGGCTCTGCAGCGACACCCCTCGACAGCCTGGACGCATACGCCGCAGAGCCCTGCACGATAAACCTGCACCAACTTGCGGCGCAGTGAGGTATTGGCTGCAAGGGCCCAGCCACAGCGACATGCGCATCAAATTGGATAACCCGTGACTGCATGTGCTTGACATCCTCGCGCGTCACAGGTTGCGTGACTTCCCAGAGACCATCCAGTGGGGCAGTCAAGGCCGCTCCACGGGTCCATCGGAAGTCAGGATTGCCGTCATGGTGAGCCTGGGAGACTTGAACCCGCAACACCTGACCAGCAAAAAGCTTCTTGAAGGTGACTGCAGACACTGTGGGCGAGCGTGGAGGCCGCGACGCGAACTCTGTTGGGCTGAACTCGTCCCAATAAATGAAGCGCACGCCCTTGCTAGTTGCTAAGGAGCTCAGCGCCATACTGGCACCTTGCGCCGGACAGAAGTCCACAGCCTTGCGACCAAAGACGTTGACCAGAGGGTCCAGCACCAAGCTCTTGCCGGCATTGGTGACCCCTGCTATAAGGGGCACCCGGCGAGTCTTGCTTGGGCCGTGGCATATGACCTGAGCCAAGGCAGCAGCCAATAGCTCCCCATCCACTGTCGCCTGATTCCTGCGAAAGAAATCGGACATTGCCATCCACCACAAGCACGGTCCAGAGCAAGCGCAGCTAGTACCTGCCAGACGCTGTAGCAGGTCCCAGTCTGTCTCTTGCTCTACAGCATGCAGCTTCTTCGCGTCCCGCCACTGCAGCGCGCCCTCAATGAGGTCAGGGAGGCGCTTCTGATTTCGCATGCAGTAGAGCTGGCACGCGTGCGACCCATGGTCCTGCACATACGCGAGGACGGCGTTGGGCGTCAAGAGGTTCTTCTCGAGGACCATGGCAGTGAAGTCTAGAGGGGTGAACTTCTCCACCTTGGCCTTCTTCTTGTTACCTGGACCAGGGGCGCTGGCCAGGACCTCTGCCTTCTGGCGCCGCTTCACCCAAGCGCTGGCATTGAAGGGCTCTTGCGCCTCCTCATAAAGGTTCAGGACGATGTTGCTGCTGCCTGGCACTACGTACTCATGGCATGGCCCATGGCCAACTTGCACGCCCTCCAGTGCACCTGCTGCCTTCAGCCAGACCAAGGGAGTGAGGTCAACGGCCTGCTTGTGGTCAGTCGTAAAGACGCCGTAGCGCACCACGCTCCACCATTGTGTGTGGGATGTGCTCCAGTGAGACGCTAGACCAGAACGGCGTCGCAGGGCCGCCTTCAACGGCAAGAAGCGGCTGAGGCAAGTCAGCTTGAGCGCCACATGGAAGTGTCTTGGCTCCTCCAAAAACACCACAAGCTTCACAGCCTCAAGCGCTTGCGTCCGAGGACGACCTCTGCCACGCCGGTTGGTGTCCTCAGCAGGATGCTGCACCGCGTCGAGCACTGCGTCCCGAATGTCTGCACGCTCCAGCCCTTCCAGGCTCTTCAGCGGTGTCTCTGCCTGCAGGGCTGTTGCTTCAAGCACAGCTGCAAACGTCACCAAGTACACCATACTGCGAGCATTGTCATCTTCCTCCGTCAACCACTCTGGTCTTGCAGGCGGCGGCTCAACTGCTGCCTCGTCCTCAGAGGACGACGAGCTCGAGTCCGAGGCTGCCATGGCACCGGTGGGCTCAGGCTGGAGCAGAACGGCCGAACTGCAGACAGGCATTGTCAAGCACTGGGGTCCTTGGACCTCACTTTGGAGACTGCAAGCTCTCGCAACCTCTGGAGTCTGTGTGAGGGCCCTGTATGAAGGGGCCAGGACGGGTGCAGAAATGTCGTGTTTTTCAAGTTTCAAATTCGTTTCCATAGT